CCTTTGCCCCATTACCTGCTCACAAAGGAAAGGTACAGTTTTTCTGTACCTTTTCTGCACTTGAGAAAAGCAATCTCATGCCGCTGCGCCCACTTTTGCCTTCTTGCTTCTGCTCTGCCCTCTGCTTTGTGTTGACACAAAGGTTTGCAGGGCACCTGGTGGGCTGAATTGCAAGACTGATCTGACTGAAACAATCACTAACGTGATGTCTAAAAACTCAAATTCCCCGCTCAACCTTAACCGCTATATCTTGTTTTTAAGGTACTGTGACTTGAATGGGGCTGACCTTTTTTTTAAATAATGACTGTAGATTTTTAAGGAATGGTAGGTGTTTAAGTCTTGAATCCCACAATAAAATTCTGACCAGAGACAGTGTGTAGAGTTTGCTTATATGAGGACAGCAGAGTGTAAATACTGAGTAAGGATTATAGTTTTCTAGAGTTGAGACAGGGAGGTTTATAGGGGGCCTAGAGAAGACTGAGGTTTTAGTCTGGTTTTTAAGGAAACAAAGCAAATACAGTCTTGCTCTGCATCATTCACTCTTTGAGCTTCTGGTAATTTCTGAGTCCAGGTGCTCAGTTGAGGCAAATTTGGAAGACTAAAATAATTATGTTTCCACAGACTTTGTGAAAATTGACAGATAGGTGAAGATCCATTACTAATGCTTTTGCTGAAGAAAGCATGGGTAGAACTTGCCATTGTAGCAGCCTGACCGCCCAACAGTGTACTTGCTGTCTGGCCAACTGGCCTTGAGTTAAGGTTAACTCCAGGTGAGCTGGTACTCCAACAACTCTGGCCACATGGAACATATGGGGAGTCACAGTCACTGCTCTCTGGGAATGGGAAGTGTTTGGAAAGGAGTCTGTCCTTAATTCATCTCTCGGGGAATAGTCTATATCTAAGTAAACCTGAACAGATTTATTCAAGTATTTATGTGAGACACCAACTTTGTGTATTCTATACATACAACATATATTAATTAAATTCTATCTTACATTTGGAATAAGCCTCACCAAGGAGTGAACTATACACTGGGTAAAGATAAATTCTTTGTGAGGCGTTAGCTTTACAGTATTTGCATTACAGACCAGACTTCTTGCTTACTTTCCTAAATCTTCTTCGGTACACAGGTGCATACAGGTCTTTTGTTCATGTGTTCTGAGTACTAATAATGTTCTTAAGATTGAAAATTTTGGTAACTTAGCACTTTTTAAGATAAGACACTGTAAATGCTAGTTAATATATCTAAGGATGTTCTGGCATTTTATTTGAAAATGTGGATGTGTTGTTTATATTCTAGGAAAAATATCTAATGAAGAGGATTAAAAACTTCATAAACTGCTGTGGTTTTGCCTGATCAGGTTTACCTTTTCACAACATTAAATCCTGTGCTATGTTATGTTTCTACAGAATGACAAAGGGCAGATCCCAGCAGATGTGGTTCCTGATCCAGTAGATATGCCACTGGAAATGGCAGATGCAGCGGCCAGTGCAAAAGAAATCAAGCAGATACTGCTGGATGCAGTGCCTCTCTCATGTGACATCTCAAAAGCCATGATTCCAAACTATGACCATGTCACAGGCAAGGCCATGCTTTTATCACTTGGCCTGAAACTGGGAGATCGTGTTGTTATTGCAGGACAGAAGGTATGATGAACAACCCGATGCTACCCTCACAATTTCTGGACAGTCAATTTATTTACCCCTTTGGAGACATACCTCAAATTTGAGGGTCTAAAACTTTCTGGAAGGTATGAATTCTGGATGGCAGTAAGGATCTGGTTACAGAAAGTAGTAAGCTGAACAGTTATGTGTTAAAGTCACTACTATGAAAAGTTGTTTTGACAGGCACAGTCTGCATTTTGTATCTGTAAACAGTTTTTTAACAGTCTCCTATAGTACATCAGCATGGCTCAGCTTTTATTAACATTTTTGGTGTCGCATCAAAATGATGGTAAAATGTACAGATTACGTTGTGAGTTGCCCAGCTTTCAGTTATGAGTATGCGTTTGTGAATTACCCCTGATAGTTTCCAGAAGGTGGTAAAAGAAATCTTTAATTCTGCGTAGCCTGTAGTAACCCAATTTCACTGGTGCAATGCAGCTAAAATCTTTGAAGCAGTGCTGTGCCAATGGGGTTATTACATGTTTCTATGGAACTATAAGAATGTAGCTAATGCTGGTCCAGCTGGAAGGTGTATAGCTTTTAAGAAGCTACCTTTTAAAAAATGTATTTGAAAAATGTAACATTGATATTGCAGTTAGTATTCAGACCTTTTATTTGCTCTGATAGCAAGGACTCTGAAATGATTTAAGAGTGCTAGAACTCTTAAAGATTTCAAATATTTTTCTGGTAAATGTTGAAGGCATTTGTAAGCAAAATATTATTTTTTAATAGCTTTACCTTTAATAATTTTTCTAGTATAACTTCAGATTTGTAATTATCACAACTGAAGTGAGTTAAAGTGAACCCCACCAACAGTGCAAAGTAGCTTCCATTCTTGTATTTTCATTTGGTGTATTCTTGAAAATGGGTCAGGAAAAGTGAAGGAATCACTAGCTATGCAGAGGGCATTTTAAGCTGAAGTCCATACAGGAAGCCGCTTATTCTTTAAAGACAGGAAGACAGGAAGAAGTTCATGGAAGTTTCTTTTACAGAAAGCCATTGCACAGTGAAAGCAAGGAGAGATAATGTAACGGCAAGTTAATGGAGGCTTTATAGCAAAAACCGGAAGAAATCGGTCCTCTTGTATGTCTTTCCGCCAAGCAAGGCCCATAGAACTGTTTGTACTGTAGCATGCTTCGTGTGTGTGGATAAAGCTTCCTGGGTTTGGTTACTTTTTTAATTGAGTATGCTATTACAGTGTTTTTTAAGAAGTAGTTGGAAGCTGGTTTTCTGCTGCCAAAGGCCAGCAGGGCTTTCCAGCCAGCTTTTTTTAAGAGAGACAAAGCTGTCATATGGCAGGTGGGAAGGAGGAATATGATTGTGCTATTTGGTCTTCCTTCTCCACGTCTGCTTTCCTCCCTTCCTTTCTTTGTGTGCAAGGAGCTGTTCTGCATTACTCCCGCATCATTTCCCATCTGCTTTCTCCATTTGGCTGAATGGAGTAAATGATCTCAGCTGTGTCTTTCCCTCTCCCTTGATACTCATGAACGTGTGCAGGGTGGAGCAAAAGTGAGAACAGGATGATGAAAATGGTGCCCAGTTCTTAACCTCCTCTTGGACCAGTTGTCATTTCTAGAATATGGAAGCTGGGATGAGGGCACTGGAAAGACAGCATTTTTATGAGCAGTGTTTATGGATTCCTTTCTCCTTCCTGCTTCTGCAGTCTCCTCACACGTCAGCTTTAATAAAGCTTGAAAGCCAAGCACAGTAGATGCCAGAGGGGAAACGGATTCGTCTCTTGATTACTGTACCTGTCATTCTAGTTGCCTTACAGTATAGGAGGCTGTGTAAGCATGTGTTTATGTGTACATGATTTGGGGTCCCCCAGCTTCACCAGCTCATGCTTTGCTAGATTATGTGTTATCTGAATGGACGCTCAATGAAATGTGAGTGCAGGGAAACCAGTAGCTGGAAGAAAACTTTTCTCCTGTTTCTGCCATATTTCTCACATGCGAGATGTCCTCTGCTCCTTGCCTGCGCAAGTCCTAGGGCTTGCGCAAAATTGGAGCCTCCGTTTTGCCATCTCCACCTCCAGTTTAAGATGCTAGTCGCTTCCCTCTGCTTGGTATGTGTCCTTTGGCTGGTGCCTGGAGAGTGGAGGAATCTGCTAGGCTGCTTGGGCAAGCTTCCTCCAGCTGAACTTGATCTCTGGGTTGGTACCTAAAAAGTCTGAGTCTAGATTAGCGTGGATGTACCTGCCTGTAACAATCAAGTTTAAAGGAGATCTTCAGAGTAAAAGAAGAATAGGCTCTGGGTCACGTTTATTTCTTTACAGAACATTAAGAAAGAGTATCTGGGAGGTTTTATAGTAAAGAAAAAAAAAGGGGGATTTTTTGGGGAGTCTGTCTACTCTCTGAGGGCTGGTTTAGACAGTGAAGTCATAGAAAAAAGTGAACTAATAGTATTAAGGTCATAAGAGAGAATAAAAACTGAGCAACTGAAAGATCAAAGGTTTTTCTTACTAAAACTAATTTAAAAATCAAATATAAATAAGAATTTAAATCAGTGTTAAATGCTTCTCTGTTATTCCTCCCTCATTTGATTGAAGTGTGTGAGCTTATATTGCATATTTGTGGAGACTGAGGTCCACCAGCAAGACTGGTCTGTCTTGATATACTTGATATACTTACCTGCTCAGAGTCCACATAGTATATAGTGTATATATAGAAATAGAAAAAAAAAAAAAAGTTATAACACTTGCTGGCTTTTTAAATTTTGTTTAATAATAATGAGGGAATAAAAGACGTAAGAATTTTTTCCAAAGAAAAAAATTAAGTGTGCTCTGAAGTTTATCCTTTGCTTTTGCAATATATATACACATAATTAAATGTATACATATTTATACACACAGAAATATATTTATCGAATTTTTTGTCTAGTATTTCCATGGAATCTCTAATTCAGCAAGATACCTAGCCATGATTCTGGGACTATTGGTGTGGAAGACACTGAAAGTAAAACTTTTTGTTAGGCATACACTCCTGTACCTTGCCGATTTGGAGTTCTATTGTACAGTGGTGCTTACTGTCTACTTCTTGTCTGTTATGAGATCTGTCAATGACCACTGCTTTTGTTTAATAAAAAATACACGCAGAAAGACTCATACATTTTGGAAAATGCACTGGCTGGCATTGAAAAATAGGAATGTCAATAATCAAGGGAGACTCTTACATTTGTATTTCTCTGTTCTGATCAAAAACTTGGGGATGACTTGCTGTCTCCTTCATAATATACTATGTTCTCGTAAACAATACTCGTTTAACAAAGTCGTTCTGTCTGTGTTGATGCTTTTTTCCTTAGGTTGGTACTTTAAGATTTTGTGGCACAACGGAATTTGCCAGTGGCCAGTGGGCTGGCATAGAGCTGGATGAACCAGAAGGAAAGAACAACGGAAGTGTTGGAAAAGTCCAGTACTTCAAGTGTGCACCGAAATGTGGTATAGCCTTTAATTTTTTTTCTTACTTTTTTTTAAAACCTGAATTTTAAAAAAAGTGTTGGAAGATACGAACCTTTTGGGAGAATAAAAGCAGATAAATTCTGTTGCTTTTCTTTAGTGCTTTGTTTGTTTTATTGATCCTTTTAACTGTTCCTAGTGCTTTGGCCCCAACTATTTGCAAAACCACTGAAACAACCAACCAGTCAAAATTTCTGGTTATTTCTTTGAAACTGTGAGATAATAATCTTTCCTGGTTTTCAGTTTATATTGTTGAAGCTATTGGTTTGTGTTGTAACAATAATGGCCATATTTCTTTACCTGCTTTGCCTTCCTTTTTAAGAGATTCAGGCCTGTAGTTCTTTTTTTCTAGCTTCCAGCTTGAGGTATTTTAATAGATATTTCATGGACAGTCATGATATACAAAGTCTTGCCTTTTGTAACACTGGAGACTGAGTGTTACCATTAGGACAAAGGTTCCAATCAATAGTTTTGCTGACTTCCTGAATTACTCTGTTCAAGTTGCTTGATAAGTCTTTTGGTTTCACTGTTCATTTGAGCTAGTCCTTCCTACCCTATGAGTGCTTTGACAGCATAGCAAGACATGATCGTGACTGGAAAAAAAAAAGTTTTGTTGCATTAATATTACTCCTGGTTCTTTTTTGGCACATACAATTTTCTCTCCAGGTATCTTTGCGCCTCTTTCTAAAATAAGCAAGGCTTCTGATCACAAAAAAGGCTCTATACGAAGTTCTTCCATGCGGTCTTCACCTTTGGTCAAATCCAGGAAAATAGATGTGACGCATATAACTTCCAAAGTGAATTCTGGTGAGTATTTTCTTGTATGTTGAGACAGGATTGAGATACTAATTTTCAAGAATTAGCACCAATCATGTAAATCTTGGTATTAAAATACTTGTTTGGAATTAGTTCATCCCTTGGGATGAGAAGGTGATATTTATTAACTACGTGTTCTCATTCTTCGAAATTCAGTAGCCTTTAACTAGTGCTGGAAGGGCGTTGTGTGTAGTTGCATAGTGATTATAGCGATCTGATGTACTGGTAGAGGTCTTTATATACTCTTATCAAAAAAACCCCAAAACCTTCACCACAGCACTTATTCTCAAGCCTTTGAAGTAATTTCTAGTTGGCTGTGATATCAGTTAAATGTCTAAACTTAATGTGATTTCATTTTCGTTCATAAGATCTTCCTGGGTAACTTGAAACATCTCACGGAAATCAGTGAAAATCTGGAAACTAATCTATATACACCTTTATGTATAGAAATTGAAGAAATTTAATTTATTTTCTGGCAAATGATCAAGGAACTGATTGTGGTTTATATTGTGTTTAACTGATTTTTAACTGAACTATTCAGTTTTAACTGAACTATTGTGTTTTTTAACTGATTGTGTTTTACTTGCTCATTAAGTTATTTGAGTAAAACCAGAGGCAAATTAGGAGAGAAAGGATGTCCTTGTAATATGGCCTTGGTCTACTGACTGGAGGTACAGGCTCAGTCCTGGCTCTGGCTTAGTCTTTTAGTAACTTATTCAAATTACTTAATCAACAGGCTGGATCGATGGGCTGAGGTGAACTGTATGAGGTTTAATAAGGCCAAGTGCTGGGTCCTGCACCTGGGTCACAATAACCCCATGCAACGCTACAGACTTGGGGAGGAGCGGCTGGAGAGCTGCCCGGTGGAAAGGAACCTGGGGGTGCTGGTTGACAGCTGGCTGAACATGAGCCGGCAGTGTGCCCAGGTGGCCAAGAAGGCCAACAGTGTCCTGGCCTGTATCAGGAATAGTGTGGCCAGCGGGAGCGGGGAAGTGATCGTGCCCCTGTACTCGGCACTGGTGAGGCTGCACCTTGAGTACTGTGTTCAGTTTTGGGCCCCTCACTGCAAAAAGGACATTGAGGGGTTGGAACATGTCCAGAGAAGGGCAACGAAGCTGGTGAGGGGTCTGGAGAACAAGTCTTCTAAGGAGCGGCTAAGGGAACTGGGCCTGTTCAGTCTGGAGAAGAGGGGGCTGAGTGGAAGACCTCATTGCTCTCTACAACTACGTGAAAGGGGGTTGTGGCGACATGGGTATTGGTCTCTTCTCCCAAGTCACTAATAATAAAATGAGAGGAAACGGCCTCAAGTTGCACCAGGGGAGGTTTAGATTGGATATTAGGTAAAATGTCTTTACTGAGAGAGTGGTCAAGCATTGGAACAGGCTGCCCAGGGAGGTGATGGAGTCACCATCACTGGAGGGATTCAAAAGACGTGTAGACATGGCACTTCAGGACATGGTTTAGTGGGCATGGTGGTGTTGGGTTGATGGTTGGACTTGATGATCTTAAAGGTCTTTCCCAGCCTTAATGATTCTGTGATCCTTCTGTGTAAGTTCCCTCGTAGTGAGGTAAGGATGCTGCTCCTTTTCTGTCTGTCTAGGTTCCAAGGTGTTTGGAGTACAGACCCTTCCCTGCTGTGTACTGTGCCCACTGTGCCTAATCTGTCCCTGTATCTGGCTGGCTACATAATGATGCCATTAAATATATTACATTAACATTTCTTTTGCCTTTTGAACCCTGTTTGGGTGACTCATGCTAAGGCAGCACAGCTTAAGGGACAGAAGATATGCATACATTCTCATTAAATTTATCCAAGCACCCTAAAACGCTCTGCTCTTTACCAGTAATAAGCAGGGCATAGAAACAATGTGCCAGGCTGGTAGTAGAGATGCTTCTTGGCAGCATTTTGGATGATTTATGTAACTATTCTCTATATAGATTGAGGGGGAAGTAAGCCCTAATTATGTGTATTTACAATTAGCACACGATTTAAGCTATTTATAAATGGACATCCTGCATAAAAAGCTCCTCAGAATAATCAGTTTGTTAGGAGTATTGCTCAGGAGCAGATCTAAGCTGACTTTTTCTGTTAAGTATTTTTCAATGTTTGCTTCAGTTTGTTGTGAACTGTTTGTAACTCATTAAACTGTAATGGAAAGGACTGTTTCCTTTGTCACAGACAGTTCAGTCATAAACCGTCTTTTCTGTCATAAAGGTGCATTTGTATCTTTGTAAATTTTAAGCATTTGATACTTACTTTAAGGTAAAAATCAGAGTGAGTTATGTATCATCTGCCCGACAGAGCTCACATCCACTACCTGCAATCTGGGAGCTGCTGTTTGTAAGATGTTCTTGTGTTGAAAGGTCCATTGGAATTAATGTGCCTGGCTGATTCATTGGGTGGAGTTTGATCCGATGTCTTAATGGCAAAACCATAACATTTTGGAAAATACAGTACATTTGCAAACCAGTTCAGTCCCTGTAGCTGAATAAAGCTGCAGAGGCAGAACTTTGTTTTTCAGGCTTTACCTGCATCACCGGATTACATTTCTTTCCCTTCAACTTCATTCCTGCAATACACTGGTTTGTAATGATCCAAGAAAAATTAATATGCTTTCTGTAGATAAAGTTATAAGCAGCAAAGTAAAATATAATACTGTAGAGAGATTTTCAAATTTGATTTGTTTCTCCTGGATTAAGGTAACCCATTGGATTGATGATAAGAGGTCTTCAAGTTTTTAGAAAAGGGATTACTGTGATGAAATTGAGAAATGTGTTATCAGTCACAAACACTAGTTTTTTGATCTGATGCCTTAATGGCTAAGCCATAAAATTTTGGAAAATATATTACATTTGCAAACTAGTTCAGTCCCTGTAGCTGAATTAAGATGAGAAATGTAGTTAAATAAAAAAGATGTGATTTTTTTTCTTTCTTAACAGGGAGGGGATAACTCATAGATAAGCTTGTTCTTCATTGAGTTATGGTAGGAAACTGTCAGAAATGCAAAAAGACTGTTCACAGGTTATAATTTACTTGGCAATACTACTTCATACATATATTACAACATCGCTGCTCTAAGAGTTAGGCTCTTAAAAATCGTATTGGCATACTCGCTTCATTATTTGTAGACTGAATGAAGATTTCGTCTCAAATCTCTCTCAAAACTTTTACATGTAATGTTTAATGCAGAAATTGTGAAATTAATACTAGTGAATAGTATACTTTAAGTACTATAAAAATGAATGTTGTATATATAATAGATGTAAATATTTGAAAGATTTAAGTAAAACAACCTTCAATATAAACATTAGTATTTTGCAGACAATTTGTTTATTGTTTAGCATGATAGCTTGGACTGTTTTAATGTGTTAACTCCCTTAACATGTACTTATCCATCAAAACAATTCTGTATTATTAAGAGTCAAAGGAACTGTACAGTTTTATCTGTTTTATCAATGCATCCACTAATCTGCAAATCTGTCAAATTTTTGTGTACATGACTTTCCTGTAAAATTATTGTTCGTTGTTAGGATGTGTATGTTTAATTGCATATATTCTTTTTACAGGCCTAAATATGGCAAAAAAAGACAGTGCTTCTGAAACCAACGTCATGGCTGCTAACAGGGGAAAAACTGTACCTGCAAAAGACGGTAACTAAATTGTTTTTTAACATCTTGAGGAAAAAAATTGGATAGGGCAGAGGAGGTGGTTTTACTGCCTTACCTCTGCAAAAGTCCTGTATCTACACCATAGAAAAAAAGTTGCCTTGCCTGTCTGTATTCAAGGCCCGAGCAGGCTGTACACATCTAGTTCACTAGGAGTAATTTGTGTCGGCGTTTGGCTGGCATTCTCTCTTGGTTTGGTAACAGCTTCTATCCAGATACGTGGACAAGAATATAGACAAGCCCTTAAAGCTGAAGGCTGTCTCTTAGTAAAAGATCTTACCTTCTTAGGTTTCAGAGGGAGACCTTTTGCCCTTTAGCACTACTGCTTAAATTTTGATGAAGAGCTGTGCATGTATTCTGTTGGAATTTTTATTCACTCCTATATCTGTGTGTTCAAGCTTGTACAACAAAGCGTTATCATCTAACAGCATTTAACAACCCTGGCACTGTCTCATGGAAGATTCATAATAACAAACTTCGTGTATGAAAAACGAAACTCTAGCTTTTTAAAAATTTCCTTTTACATATGAATCATTCTCAGCAATTACCTAGTTTCAGAATTGGATGGTGACTTCTACTTCATCAGTATGTTGTGTGATGAATTTTAAACACCAAGGGACCTCACTTTCAGGGGTGTCTTTAACAAACTGTAAAAATCGTGTCTCCTTTTTAAGGCTTTGTCTATAAAATCATACTACAAGTGTTGGTAAAGTCAATATTTCTTTGAAATAATTTGAAGTGTGACTTTTGAATATACACTTTTTGAAGAAAAGCATCTTTTATATCCTCTGTCAGTGAACAGTTGTGAGGAAGAGACTAGTGTAAGGTATTTGAGCACTGTCCTATATACTTTTTCAGAGGTGAGCTAAAAACCTTGTGTAGACAGAAGTTTCCAACATTTGGAGGGCACTTGATGGGTTATTCTTCAGATTCTGGTTACACAATGAAACTAATTGGCAGTACAGTGTCTCAGTTTGACAGATACAATATGATACCCACAATTAATAGGACTCCAAAGGCTTTGCAGGATTTTTTTGATGTGGAGTGAAACCTCAGTTTGGGATCTAGTGCTTTAGATGGTGCTGCCATGACAGGTGCAGAACCTTTAGGAAAATCCAACATCCAACTTAGAAAGTAGCTGTCAGCAAATGTTTGTCAAACAGGAAGGCTATTTCAGCTTGGGGTTTTCCTGGAGTTTGTGCTGAGTCTGGTAATTTGGGGAGGTTTTTGTTGTGGTGTGTTTTTTTGTTTTTTTCCAAATTTTTTGACACTAGGGATAGATTGTCTCTCCATGAAATATGCAGATGATGTGTGGCAGATAGTTGCCTGGCTTAGTATTATGTCCTTATGTCCCGTCCCCTGTCCCACCCCCACACCTCCCCTTCCAAACCCACCAGAAAACACCCCTTAACAAATTGGAAGAAAGATAAATACACCCTGGGAATGACATGCCCGGTCATAGTTTTATAGAAAAGGCCATGGGCATATTGAGTACTACAGGGTAAACGTGAGTCATCTATGTCATGCTGTTGCAAAAAGGGAACATCCTGGAATGTATAGAAAGGAGTGTCAGCTGTGAGACCGACGAAGCGACCTGAATGCTTTACTTGGCACAGGTAAGGCCTCAGATAAAACACTGCCTCTAGTTTTAGACACTGCGTTTCACAAAAGATGTGAATCAACTGGAGAGAGTTTGGAGAAGATACCACAGTAACTGGAGGTACAAAACATGATTTAGGAGAAAAGACTGTTTGAATTTGTGATTGTGTGATTAAAAAGATGGAAGATTAAAAGGCTAAACCGGGAAGCTTTCAAATACAAAGAACAGGATAACCCATTCTGTGTGTGTAAGGAGAGTAAGAAATCTTGAGCTAAAACTGTGGTAATTTAGGTTTTATATTAGGTGTGAGAAAAAAACCTATAACAGTACAGATAATTATGTGGTGAAATGTATAGCTGAGGAAGTCCTGAGATCTCCCTGATGGGTGGTTTTTAAGAACAGGTCAAACACTTTCCTGTCAGGAGCTATCTAACAAATAGTTGTTTTGCCTGATGGAAGAGGAATGGATTATAGGACCTGCTGAAGTCCCTTCTGCTCTTCCTTCTCCCACTCTGTGATCTCCCACAGAACGAAGCATCTCCATGACTGGTTTAGTTTCTGTATTGCTGCATCAGCAGCTCTTGTTGCGTTCATGTGAAAGTGCCAGGTGGTCTGACCTCCAGTGAATCCATCGCTGCACTGACTTCTAAATACAGACTTGCAGTCTGTGTTTGCAAACGCACATGTGTGTTTATACCTTGGCCGTGGAGTTCATGTTTGGCTGTTTAGTCACCATTTATTTAGTAATTTGCATTTTCTTCATTGTAGCACGGCAGCAGCCAGTATTTCAGTGCCTTCAGATTTCTGTCCCCAGATACTTAAGTTTTTGCTTTGACCTACTGCATTTGCCTTTCTGCAGTTCTTTACTGTTTTGCCAAACTGGAGGCTTAAATTATATTGAACGCACTAACCCTGTGTTGATATCAAGGTGCTTTGCGAAAACTAATGAATTAAGCCTCTTGGAATTCTGGAAAAGTTTGATAAGCAACATTATCTTAATTTTTCACATTGAGAAACCAAGGCGCAGGTATGTCTTGCCATACGCTGCCTCATTTTGGGCAGAAAGGGTTAGGAAAGGGGAGAACTGGGGTGAGCCTTGAAAAGGAGGAAAGCTGAACATAAGTCTTACCGGACAGTTTAGACATCAGGGTTTGCAAATGGAGATAAAAGTGATTTATTTCCCATTCTTATTTTATAGTACAGATTTTAGTATTAATACAGTATGTAATGGAATATGGTAGGCTTTAATCCTGACAATAATTCACTCACATAATATCACCTTCCTTCCACTTCTCATCAAATCTTTAATAGGCTGGATGCTGAAAGTATGATGGTATGATCCCTTATTACTAAGGCTCCCATATTTTAATAAATATGCTTGGGACTGTTCAGAAGAACTTTTGTAGAGTAATAAAGAAGGGGCTTTTGGACACCTCTTCCAGCACTCAACTATCACCTTATGCCCAAGGCAGGGTCAGATGCATCTATATCACTCCTGACAGGTGTTTGTGTAAATGTTGCTTAACAACCTCTCATTTTGTCTCTCTACTTTTCTGCCCACTATGGAGAACAGGTAACTTCCTTCTTACAGAAGCTGTCCCTTCTGCTTAATCCGTCCTTTTCCGAATATGATCTCTGAAGGACTATTTCCATTTATGTCTTTCAGGTTTTCCTGGGTACAGCAGCTCTTCCTCTTCTACCTCCTTGGAAGGCAAACAGAGTTACTCCAAGAAGCGAAACTCAACGAGCAGCAATAAAAAGGCAGTGACTAGAGTGTCTTCTGCCTCATCTAAAATTAGTGCCGGTATGGTCTGTTTTACCGAGGTCTCTTCTCACAAGTGGGAGTTTACCACTGTGTTGAGTACTTATGTAGAACTACTTGTGCTGTTTCAGAATCTGAGAGAGTTTAAGACAGACACTTGGGAAGTAGTTTAACCATGAACTTAAGTTTGGCAACTTTTTTTAAAAGTTTTTTAGAACATCTTCAAGAGGAAAAGTGTTCTGATAGTTGTCACTGTACCTTTCAATGGTAGAGAAAAGGCTGTAGTCCACAGTTTTGTCATGCTGTTGCAAAGCAGTTCTTTGTCTAAGCAAAATTTGCGGCAGGTTGTCGTGTGTTAAAAGTAGGCTATGTTAGAGAGAGATATACTCTTATTTACCAGTCAGTTTGCTCAGTATCTAAGACTCTCTTAAATTTTAAAGATACAATGTCACTAATTCCAGATCTTGTTCTTCTGTTGAACAGGGTTGTATAGCTCTTCTCCGGCTACGAGGAAAAATCCTTTTGATGAAGGAGAAATTCAGGTTGGAGACAGAGTACTGGTGGTAGGACAGAGAACAGGCACTGTTAGATTTTGTGGGATGACAAAATTTGCACCAGGTAGTTGCAATACTCTTTGTGTATATTGTAGAATCAATATAGGATCACTTATGTGTGAGCACATGAACATTAAGAGAACGCCATCTTTTTCCTCACTCCCTCCAAAAAATTCTAAATTTACTGGTTTATTTCAAAGTTCTGTCTCTCTCCCCTATGTTTCATTGAATATTTTTTGCTTAAGTGCAACTGCCAGGAAAAAATAATGGTTTAAAACATGACTTTTAGTTGTCCACTAACACGGCTTTATTAGAGAAATATTTTGATGTTGAAATTGTAGGTATTGTTACAAAGCTTTCTGAAAATCCTCAGTTTAGTCTCCAAAGTGGTATATAGTTTATTGAGATAACATGCCTTTACTTCTTACTTTTTGTAGTAAGCCTTTTTGGCAAAGCTCATCTCTTGCAATATTGGCAGTCTTATGTCATATACCTCTCTCATTCTTATCTTCTGGCATCTTTAGGAGGGTAATTTTGAACATTTAAATCTTAACTAACAAACCTTTAGGTCACAGAACAGATGAAAAGTTACAGGCATCTCAAAAAGCCCCAAACTCTACCACCATTTTCTCATGCTTCTCCTTTCCAGCTCCTCCCTCCCTTCCCCTTTAATAAAAACCACATTGCTGTGAAGCCAGGTGTTTTCTAACAGAAGTGAGTTGTTCTAAATTATAGAAAGTAATTTCTGAATACTCATTCTTTGTAACCAAATTCCATGTTCTTGATGTCCTTACCTATAACCTTCTTAATGCAAGAGTAATGCAAAAATAGTTGGTAAGTATTGGTGTGAATACCCAGTTTAAATAAGGTCCATTTGATTGATGTGTAAGCGGCAGTACTCTGTCTTGACACATGGTGGCATCAATATTTTAAAAAAAAAGTTAGAGTGGCAGAATGCAAGATTGTAGTACAAGCTACACACTTTTTTCATTCTTGCCCTTTTCCCCATCTCATTGTAGAGAGTCCTTGCTTAAGATACTGCAATTAACTGATTCTACCCTTTAATGTGATCACTCTTACCTCATGTTCCTTACAAAGTAAACAATGAGAAAAGGACTGGTTTTCCCAATACACTGTAACAAGTTTGAAATAAGAAAGCTGTAAGTCTCTTCCCTCTCCGCTCCAAATTAGGGACCAAAATTTTTTTGAGAAAACTATGGTATTGTAAGAAGTGAGGATGGCAAGATGACAAATTTTCACCATTTGCAAAACCCGTAATTTATAGAAAATGTAACAGATGCATTTTTAAGTTTCGATTTTAATATGTATCAAAGCTCTGGAGGTTACCCAAACTTTATTTCTTTTGCTGCAGTGCAGATCTTTATTTAATTCTAAAAACAGGAAGGGAAGAGCTTCTGACGTACTGAGCCCTTCTAATTCATAAGCTGTCATTCCTGCGTTTCTTGAGCTGATAATTAGAATTACCATTTTATCCAGTGCCTTAGTACTAAGTGACTTGAATTAAATTTTGAATCTTTTGGGGCTGGATAGCATAAGGACTGCTAATGGAGTATGAAATTTAGCACCTTTACATAATTAGCTCACATTTATCACAGGTTATGAATGATCAAGCTTATTAACATCTTGATGCCTATTCAGTGTTCTGTAAGAGACAAATTGCTGGCCAGTTCTCATTCTTACACCCTTCTCTCAATATCATACAGCCAACCTTGCAATTTGTATTAATTATAACTTGCTAGATGGAGAGAATGAATGAATCAATATCAAAACTTTAATTTTACTGTTGATGATCTCAGATGAGGCATAAACCATGTGGTCAGAGGACTAAAGAGAGAAACCAGAACCACGGCTGCTCTTCTTTCCTCTCCTTTCTGTCAAATAGCCAAACCGAATGTTATGGAATGTAACAGTGGCTTTAGTATATATAGCAAAGGGTTTACCTTTTCTATATTAATTAAAATGTCAATAATTTTCTCGAAACCATATAAAAATGCTGAGATAATTCTCTTTACGTTTATTATGAGACAAATATTTGCATAGTTACATAGATAATAATAAAAATATATATATTATAATTATCTACACAGTTTCTAACTAGCAACTGTTTTCCTTGATGTGAGTGAATGCCAACTGTAGCAACTGTCTAGATGAAGAAAAGCCTGTGGTGTTTTGTTCGAAATACCATGGTTTTACTGTTTTGAAATGTAGGATTCTGGTGTGGAATTGAATTGGACAAGCCTCATGGCAAGAATGATGGTTCTGTGGGAGGCGTTCAGTACTTCAGTTGTCTTCCCAGATACGGTATATTTGCACCACCATCTCGTGTACAGAGGTAAGCGCTGAAGCTGTTGCAATGTTTGTGTTGCCAAATGCTTTCTTAATATGTTTCCAGTGGGAAATGAAGTTTTGCAGCAGATAGGGAAGAAATAAATGTTTTCTTCTGCGAATGGAAATTTGTAACCTCCACTAAAAACCTGGTGGGTTTCAGAGATGCTTTTTGAAAGCATTGTATACATTGGAAATGCAGCTCCCCCTTTTTTCTCTTGCAGCCACTTCAAGTATTTTCATTCCAGGGCCTCCATTTCTGATACAGTCTGTGTTCATTAAACCTTACTTTCATGACCCAATCCTGATGTGCTGAGCTAAATTTGATTATGAAAGGAAGTTGCCCTTGGACGTGACTGGAAATACTATTCTCATTCCAGCTAACAGCACCGAGAAACCAAAGCACCCACCACTTTATTTGTAGTCTCTTTGTTAGGTTTCAGGAAGAACATCTGAGGAATATTGTGCTCTTTCCTCCTCTATTTGTGTCTAGTTACTCTGTCAGACATGTTCTTGCTTTTCTTTCCCTGAAAGTCCTAGCTCAGCCAAACTGTTGAAGAACTTTCCTCAAAATTACATATGTTCTTCCTGAGTAAAAGGCGGGTAACTTGAACAAACTAACTAGTTTGCTCCAGGCACCTCTTACATACCAGCCTGATTGCAGCTGAAGTGTTAGTGTCTCTTGAGGGTGGATGGAGGAGGGAAAGAATTGGAACATAGTCAACATTTGACAAGAAGGACTCCAGCAGTAGGTTTGTTCAGAGTTGAGCTGAAATGACTTCTTCATTGTGTTATTGTTTTTCAGACTAACAGGTTCTCTGGATTCTCTCACAGAGACTTCATCGAGTAAAATAAATCACACTTTTCCAGGTAGGAGAGTGAGTAAGAAAGACAGTGTGGTTTGGCTTAGGTAGCCTACTGCAGGTTACCATTCCACAACCAGAACCTACTGCACAAAGCCCGCTTCTCTGAGAAAACAATGTTTTTTCAAGGAACTCAAACGCCAGCTAGTAGTCTGGCTGGTCCCTTCCTACAAATGTAGCCTGCAGCAGGAACTGTGGAGTACTATGTTGTCATTAACCCTGTACTGGCAGAAATAATTATGTCAGAGTTAAGATTGTTGATGCTCTTTCCTTATTACTGTATTGCATTCTAATCGGAGTTAACCATAAATTGAACCTGCTGCTTGATCTGAATTGACATTGATGAAGGGATCAGTGTAGGGAAGGGTCCATATGGAATAAACTACTAAAACTTCTGTGAGATACTTGAAGTAGTTCTTTTTCCTTACCTAAGCTTTTTGTGAAAAGGCTGCTTCAAATTACTCGTTTGGTTTGTTTAATTTCATTTCCGTCCTCCTAAAATTTCAACATGTTATGGACACATATTTTCATGAGCAGTTTCATCAATTTCCAAACGGGAGGGGAGAATCTGTAGCAAATGTAGTGAAAGCAGTATAAAAGAAAACACAAAGAATATGCATTCATAAAGGTTTTGGTTTTTTTAAGAAATCTTACACAGCTTATTAACCTTTCCACTTAGTTTTTAGACGCAGTCTAAGCACCACTTCTGCATCTTCACAAAAGGAGATAAACAGAAGAAAGTCCTTTGTTAGGTGAGTGTCTTGAGTTTAAAATGTTTGGGTGGGCTGGCTGTTAGCTTTACTGTTTCTTGTTCAAAAGAAAATCTTTATGCATATAAAATATCTAGACCTTCACATGTTCATTTTTTTTCCTTCCAAAATGGGCCAGTAGTAGACTATTTTTCCGTGGGTATCCAGGAGTACGGTCCTTGGATTTGGGTTGGCATTAAAAATGTTTTCCAATTGTTTGTCACTGCATATTCGCCAAATTCTTACATTTTCACGCAGCTGTTTGAAGTTCAGAGGGTCTTGTTAAAGGACTTCACTTTGTCCAGTGGTCCTGACTGATCCTTGCATGTTAAAAGTTGTTTTGGCTAAACTCTTTCAAGCCCTAAATAAAATGTTTTGTACTGCTTATTCACCGATACTATGACTTACAACAAATGTTGTAGATCCTAGCATCAGGTGAAAGGGAATTGATTTCCAAGTATTTCAGAGCGCCATGTGTACAAGCCTGTTAATGTTATTACATGTTTTGCTCGTGCCAGGAGATCAAACCCAATTTTTTTTTAAAATGGGAGTTGAGTTTTTTTCCATGCACTTTACTGAATTACAAATTTGCCCTGGGTGGTTTGTCGAAACAAGACTTTTTTTTTTTTTCCTTTCCTAACTAGATCCAAGAGCTCTGTCTTACGGCGCAGCTGGAGTAATACCACTACAGCTAACACTGAGGGACCAGTGAAGCTGCATGAAGGCTTTCAGGTTCTTCTGACCAGCTCCAATGAAATGGGGACCATCAGGTACATTGGTCCTACAGACTTTGCACCAGGGATGTGGCTCGGACTTGAACTCAGAAGTGCCAAGGGAAAGAATGATGGCTCTGTGGGGGAAAAGCGCTATTTCACTTGTAAGCTGAACCATGGGGTCTTAGTTCGACCTAGCAGAGTAACCTATCGTGGGATTAATGGAGCAAAACTTGTAGATGATATCTGCTGAGCCAAACTGTGCTCACACAATAGGAAATAAGTATTGTAAAGCACAAACATCTAGAATGCAAACTTATTTTAAAATTATAAATCTGCATTTGCATTTTACATATATAAGCATATATATGTATGCATGTGCATATATAATACATACTTTAATATATATAAAAAATATATATAGAGAAAAAAAGTCCAGTCACATTAAGCAGTAAAACCACTATTTCTTGTCTGGGAAGGTTATTGCAAAAGCATCTTGGTTTTGAGATGCTGTATTATTTGAATAACGTTCCAGTTTGAGGGTGCAAGGATATCCACTGTTCTCTAAAGTTGCTTTGTGATTCATGCAGTATTTAAACGATTTGCCTCCATGTAGTAATGAACTGATAATGCCTTGTGCATTGCCTGCTTTTGATGGAGGAGGTGGTTAATGACTGACATTACTCTGGTTACCAGGCACTTCGTCAATTCCAATACCAGCTGCTAGCAATAAGAAAGCAGTTGTGAGGTATTTTTACACTTTATCATTCATATCCCTCCTCTGCTTTCCCCTCCTATTCCCCCCTCCAGAATGCAAAAGGGCTGATAAGTATAAAGATTTGCTGTTGTCCTAGTGAACAGCAGCAATTAAATAAAAAGCCTTTAAAAAGCACAAATATGCTGCATGTCAGTCCGTATGGCAAAAAGCACTTTTTGTTGTATGAATTTGTAGAAGGAGCTACATATAAGAAGCACTCTTTAAAATAATGCACTTTGCACTCTCCTGGAGAGCTTTCCCTCATTTTTAAAGACTTTGTTTGGTGTGCTGCAGGCTATGAGTATCACAGTTTTAAATGCAAATTAAACCCAGAGTGGAACTACACATAATAGCCTCATCATAAATATTAAGTCTGTATAAATACAGCATGATAATTCCTGCCAGTGGTATGGATTATATGCAGGGTTTTCAAGCAAGCTATTAACATTACTTGATTTGATTGTGATACATGTTTCTTTTTGTTTCCTTTGGAACAATTTCCAGTATAAATTTCTTTTTAAGAGACTTACTTATGATTGATAAATTAAGGACAGTTTTAGGTACAGCATTATAACATACCTTGATGCAGCATTATTTGCGTATCAGCCTTTGTCCATGTTTTAAACATATAATGTATTTTCATTGCTCAGCATGTGTAAACATTATCTTATCATTGGGATGGTTTTGTGTTCCTGAACATTCATTTTATTCTTAAACGATCTGCTTGCTCTTAACTACTTGAAGAAGTGACACTTTAAATTACATCATACTATCCTAATTTTTAGACAGAAGTCTGCTGCTGTTACCTTCTTTTAAATATTGCTGTAGCTATTTTTCCTGAGCTGTATTTAAAATAATGCATATTGTATTCTAACTTATGGGAATTTTTAACTGACTATAAAAGCTGTAAATTTTGAATGTAAAAAAAATTAATGCTTTATATTTGAAGATGCAGATATTCAGTGATGTACTGAACTTTACTTTGTCCAATATCTGTTTCTTGCTGGTATTAGTAAAATGAAACCCTGGTGAATACTATGGCAAAAAGAATTTTCATTAGGTTGTTACAGAATGTGCATCCTCTCACTTCTGTTCTTCTATACAAATTAGGCAAACAGGATACAGCATGGAACAGCAATTGTAGAATATAAAGCAGAAGATTTTATGTCTTCTGGCCATTTGGTACAGAACTGCCAGTTGTCAAAGTGTTTGTACAGCGTGTTTCTCAGGTTTGTCCCAGCCTTGTCCTCCTGGGTGGGCAGTTCAGTTTCTGTGATGAAACACTCATTGTCAGAAATGCTGTTTTTCCTACCTGACGTGATGGAACGGAGGTAACTGCTTTATCATCTGATGCGTAACTGGAGCTCTTGAGGAGGTACATAGGGAATAAGTGTGTGGGTAAGGCAGCAAGCTCAGGCAGTTTATTATAGTCACACTATTTCTGTGTGGCCTGTCTTGCACAGATGAAGTAATATATGGGAATAACTGCTTTCCAAGGGTTTTCTGATTCACTGACTGGTAACTTTTTTTTCTTTTTCTCCAAGGGTGTCGGGCTGCACCTTCCACAGCTCTGTAGCTACACCCAGTTCAGCTGGAAGTGGGGTCTCAGTGGTGTGGGTTAGCCAAAGACTGCAGAACTTCATGGACTCCTGTCTGATGGGTAGAGGGCATAGATACTATCCATCTGAGCATTGTAGTGTGCTTTCCCTTCAGTTTCGTCTCAGCTAGCTGCGTGTTTCTCCTGAAAGCTCTGGCTGTAATCCAGCTAGAGCACTATAGGTTAGAGGAGAGCAAGGCAGGACTTTTATCAGTATGGAGCTGTTTTGGTAGCACTGAAAATCTTCTACAAGGAAGCAAGGAGCACTGTAAATGTATGCAGCCTGAAATGGAAATAAATCAGGCCCTCCATTCCAGAAAGGATTACCGATGGCTGTCTTCAAGTTGGTGATGCGAAGGGATTTGTGCTTCCCTAAATCCAAGGTGAGTTGCCATAATCCTTTTCTTCAACTCCTGCAGGAGGACACTTTGTGTCATAAAAAATGAATTCTAAAATTAGGTGTTGTGCTGAGGTCTCTATGATCACAGCCCCAGACTGGTTAGAAAAAAGATAAATGATCCTCAAAGTCCCTATAAACTGTATAAATAAAATATTATGGTTTATAAATAAATAAGCAGATGGTCCCCAGCAATTCTGTGCTGCCTGTGCAGCCTTTGAGGCTTGCCCTTGTTCTACAGCATGCCTCTGGGGTCCAGTTTCAGAAAATGTACTTCAGTGCTCAGCAATGAAATCTTTCAAGCTTTGTTGGACACTGGCTGGAAGGGAGAGGTCACAGGTGTGACAGCAGGAGGAGAACTTTCTTGAAGTGTCCCAGGATGGGGAATTAGTTTCTAGTGAGTTCAATCCAGTTGGATTCAGTGATCATTTTGCTGATGTTGACAGTAATGGTTTTCTGGGCAGGGAGACTGTTTTTGAAGTCTTGCTGTCCAGCAAGATCTGAGGCACAAGGAGCCAAAACTGGCACTGCAGACTTGCAAAACATAACCTAGTTTCTCTAGCAAGTTGGCTCTGTTACCTGTGAGAGAGTTGCATAGGTAGCAGATCCAGCATTTATGTCACGGCTTTTACAGAGTTCCGGTTTTGCAGAAGCCTTGTCAAACACCAGGTAGAAACTGAAAATGTGGCCATGAAAGCCACACAGCAGAGTTCCCACCACCTGCATCGTTCTTCACAGCTCTGGATCAAATCGAAATTAGAGCAAAGATTGCCAACCAGCACCAGATCCAAACCAGTATGCTGGTGGCTGCCTGGGGACTGGCTGTGCTCCTAGGAGAGCTCCCTTCTCAGCTAAGATGAGGAGAAACTGAAGCATGGGGGAAATGGAGGGAGAGGAGCCTGCCAGATACCTGCTCAGGTGAAAAGTCTTGCTAACGGAACCACAGCACTATCTTGCAGGAGCATGAGCATGTGGATAAGCAAGTGAAGGAGAATAAGGTTTATAGATAAGTCAGTCATAATTTCAAGGACCAATTCTTGAGAAAGCAGCTACCTATGGTATAGGAGTGGTATGGGGAGGGGAAAAAAGTGGGCATTTCAGGGCAGGAGCTCTCTCTTCCTATCTTTGTCATAGGCCTCAATACTGGCATGCCACTGTATTAAAATAAAGCTTTTAATTGGACCTACTCAAAGTTCAAGTCCAAAGAAAAATTCTGTCTTTGGTTATAAACATTTAGGAATGAAAACACCCAAATGCTCGCTTCAGCTATATACTTTGTTCTCTTACACTGACCAGTTTCCTTGATCTCAGTGCTTTGTAATAGAAGGAACAGCACCTTTCACTGTAAGAAAGGTGGAGGTATGACAGCTGCAATGCAAAGAAGTTCTTAAACATGGTGGCTGTCTCAGATGAACCCCCCACCTGCTCCTTTATGGTACACTGACACACAAGACTTCTGTAACTTTGCCAAGTGAAAACTGAGCCTCAGCGCCCCCCCTTGGTTATCACAGAAGTAATCTGACGTTGATACAATCATTACACAGCCCCACACAGAGAAAGCCAGCTACAGTCATTTTATTTGTCTTCATGCCTTGTGGTTCACTACACTTGTTTACAATACAAATACACTATTCAATACAAAATACTCAATGACCATATATTAGTATTTTTCTTTATAGTATCCCTGAAGTGCACAGGCCCTTCCTTTATGAACAACATTGCATAAACTGCTGTACATGAAACGAGACACTCCTATAATGAACTTTGTTACTAAAAGAAGCCAGATGCAGACAATTTGGACATTTTCCTGTGATGGGTTTAACTTTGGGACAGACAAAGGGTGATGTCTTTGCTGCTGTGAAAGGCTGTTTTATGCTATTCCTATGTCAAGGTTCTTGTCACCCAGAAGATAGGCTCAATAACAGGAGCAGACACGCAAAGTTTAATCCTTCATAGCCTATGTCAGACCTCTTACATCATGCAGTATATACCTGACTGCGCTCAGCGGTGCTGCAGCTGCTCTCACGCTGAGCCTGCGTCCTTTTGTGAGCATACGGGGAGGGAAGCCAGTGGAGCTGTGATACACCACTGTGAAAGGCTAACTCAGCCAAATTACTGCAGCCCTGTGGTACCTGTACCTCCCGTGGCTACAGCAAAGCCCCTTTCCTGCCACTGCGCCATCCACTGCTCCTCGAGGAAGCAGAACCACCCAAAGGTCTTGCCTTCATTTCCAGGCACGTGATAGAGAAACAAGGTTCAGTAGCAAAAAGGAAGATCAAGGGACAACTGGAAAGGCAGATAAACAGGCATCCCAACCTAGTTTACCTTCAGCAGCTTACAGAATCAGAAACCTACCTAATATTGATAGGGAACAGGTAACGGCCACATGGAAATAAGCCATTTTCAGAGTATGAGAGTGGTAGCACAGGATTTTTCCCAGTCGTGCTTTACATCCTGTAGATCATACTGCTTCCCGCTTTTCCACTGTAGAGTGAGGAAGATACATAAGACCAGAACGTTAAGTATTGCCAATGAAAAAGATTAACAGTCTTAAGAAGTTCCATTAAAGAAAAATCTACGTTGTCTCAATAAACTAGATTTAAAAAAAATACATCATAGACAAAAATGGGTAAGAGGGTTAAAATAACTTGAATTTTTTTTTTCCTGCAACACTGTAAGCCTACCGTGGAGGGGTTTAATACGGGAATTTGGGATTTACACCTGCCAGGGTGCTTTGGTCTGGTGAGCTCATGGAGACTTAAGCCCCTTCTGTTCCCTGCAGCTCTGAGAACTGAACAGGTGAATCTTTCTGAACACAGAAATTAAAAATTCCTAGTTCATGACTGGACAAAATGCTGTGGCTAATGGTGTACAGCTACAGGAAATGTGCTAGAATGAAACCACTAGAAACAAACAGAAGAAATATGAACACTGAACACTTCCAGATGTAAGAGAAATGCTAAAATAAATTCTATGCAGTACCTTCTTGTACAGAACTTCAGCCAGTCTGTGAGCTTTACAAAGCCGAGTTTCTGTTGTTTCCCTCTGCCCTACTTGGACTGTCCCTGGGAAAGCCCCGTGGAAGCTTCTTTCCTACCTTGCAGAACAAACTAGAACAAACTGCTGCGAGTAATTCTTCCAGTCAGGGCAAACCTGCATGGCAACTGCAGCTCTCACATGCTTACTGGTTAAATGGTACATCGTTTCTGTCACCCCTTCCGCTAATTTGAGATAGATAGTCTAGTAATTGGTAGTGCCAAGGACGAACTGTTACTTCAGTGACAGAGGAAACAGGTATCATTAAGGAAAGCTTTCTTCACATCACCCCAGCGATACAAATAAAATCTGGCATTGTCACCGAAATCCTGGTGCTGCTTTGGCAACAGAACAGATGCTTACAGTTAAGCAATGCAATTGCAGAATGACCAGGAAAACATCTTCGATGCAGCCTGCACACCAGTAGCAGAGCACCCTTTAGTCAAAGCAATTAATTAATCGAAATAATTTGTCATCGATGGTATTATATGTTTTCTAAGAAAGAGGACAGACAAATGCTCCAACTCTTGTTTGAGTGGCAAGATTTGATTAGCATCAATATTTACAAAACAATTTTTGCAAACTGGGGTACTGTGCTTGGAGAGCACACAGGGGTGCCAAACTACATGCTTGCTGTGGAAGAGCTCAGAGATGTTGTTTTTTACATTAAAAATAAGACCCGACGAGATTTATTGAATTCCTCCGAGTTCCAAACATTAAGAGGGGGTATTGTAAAAAACAAAAAAAAACCCAAACAAAACGCAAAACCCAACACAAAAAACAACGCCACAACAAAGCATTTTACACTGGAGACACTGGAAGGAAGCTTGCTTAAAACCAACTGCTAGTGCTGAACAGTATTTATCTCAATGTACCATGCCCAGCAGACTGGAGAATTTCAGTAGTAACTCCCCATCTCCCCTGACCAGAATTATCTCCTCTTGTATTCCATAGGTAAAAAGCAGTAATGTGTTTAGCTCCTTCATTTTTACAACTCCCATTCAGTAGAAGTATTGAAGTTGAAATTCTGTGATAAAATAACTGCACAGCACAAGCTGCGGAGCAGTAATCACACCAACACCATGGCTGGGGAAAGCCTGCCTTTCCCCCCTCCTTCCACAAACTTATAATCATCTCTTGCTGCTTGTGCTTTTAAAGATTCTTTAGAAATGCTACCCTTAACATCGTAACCTGGCAGCGTATCTGCATTCGTGCAGCATCAGAGCTGCTGCCCGAGATCCAAGAATTAATAATTTCAGCTAGTCAAAAATCATTAACTTTGCAACTTTTTTTTCTAGTATATTCTTTAAGAACTCTCATCAGTATACAGGTCAGATCCTGACCTCAGTAACATAAGAGGCAGGGCAGCAAAAACTGAAAGTGTGCTCCTATGCAAAGAGCTAAAGAAAACAATGAGGAGCTTCAGCCCTTCTGAAAATGAGAAAGCTGGAATATTGAAATGAAAATTGCTATTATATGTGAATAATACACTAGTGTAAGAAATTGTTCTGATGGTGCTTGCCTCCTGAATTAATCAGCTTTACCTGAGAGTCTAGAAAACTACCCCATTGAATTTACTGAGCTAGAAAGAGAGACCAGTGTGACACTAGCACAGTCCTAAACTAGACAGAATCCCTCCCCAGTGGCTATTTGATGACAAGAGTTGCGAGCCTAATAACCTTGGAATTCACAAATACTCTCTTAGTTCAAGCTAAAGAATCCTGCGCACAGCAGCAGGATTACACCCAAAGTGTAACCCTCGTTATCCCCACCAAGCCCGTACACCAGCGGTGCGACGGATCCCTAGCAGACGAACACGAAATTCAGAGCAGCCCCCGATTCAAGCCTCCCAGCACACTTCCCATTAACCAACCACCACACACACAATTTTGGCATTTTTCTAAAAAAAGGGGTTTAGTTCTGTGTATCAGAGATGTCAGAAAGGCAGGTTAGGCGAGCACACTACCTCCCTGCTCTTACGTTTTTTTTTACAAGGGTGGTGGCCCAAACCAAGCCCTCCAATTTCAGTCTGCACATCCCAAAGGTCAGGATCCTGTATATGTGGATTCTGGTTTGCTCTCTTATGATGACAGGAAGCTTACCTCAATGTTTGGATCCAGGGTCAGATTCAGAGTCGCTTCACTGAAACGAAGAGTCTCCGACTGAAGAACACCTTCACATTCCTTTGCTGATGCTCCAGTACACCCATTTCTACAGAAATAGGCACCCCTTTTTTGGATAGCATTCATGCTAAAACAGCTCCTTGCAACCCTAAGTTGAAGTTACTAATGCACATCTTTACATATGAATTACTTCCTACATCTATGTTTTGACAATACACTTAACTGGAATATTTTTCATGCACAACTTGTACAAAATGAGTCAATGCAGTGTTTCTCTTTATCTATCATACACATATTTTGTTAAAGGAACAAGGACTCTAAACCCTTCCAATACAGACAGTATCTGGCATCCGGGTTGTGGCACGATGTAGTCTTCTGTCTTTATGTTCTTGTTTGTACAGGGTACGTCAGAGGCTAATGTAAACCTCTGAGGTATGCAGGTGGCTGTCCATTTTCAGGGCACGGTGAAAGTTTCTCTAATGACCATGGTTCTTTAAAGCTTCACCTTGGTTCCATGTGACACGCACAAGTTCCTGATGAAGGACATTCCTACTTTTGTAGGACAGAGGGAATTTTAAAGGGCTTTACTCAGTTTTAGTGCTTAAGCACAGGAAAAAAAACAAGAAAACAAAAACCCCAGCCAAACCCATCCCTCTGCCCCCAACCCATAACGCCTCATAGCATCTACACCCATCCTCTGTGCTTCTCTTTTTCGAGTGATGCAGTATGACCAGTGTCTTTCTATTGCCCTGCCAATGCCCCCCATAACCGCTGTGCATTCAAGGACTTTGAAGACTGGACTGTAGCTAGAACACAACTTGGGAACGTGCCATTGCATCACCATTCAGCTCTGTTGTATCCTTTTTCGGTTTGGATAGAGGATGCTCTCCCCAAACCCACTACAACCTCTGCCAGCTGCAGGAGATCTCCAGGTGTTCCACAGCAACCACAAGTTTGGCACGGAAAACCCCAGACATGAAACACTCAAGGCAGCGAGCCGCAGCTTTACACTTAAGCAGAGAACACACAACTGAGAAAAGCTCACAGGAAAGGCATGACAACAACCATGCGTATGAGTTGATGCAACAGCAGCTGGGCCTTGCAGTTAACATCTGTTTCCTGTATCCTCCCTCCCCCTTGTTTCTTTTATTGTACTGGGGCTCTGGTGATTTGAAGCCTCTCAGGTTAGTTGAAATGACAGCTTTGAGGGTGGCACTTTTGGAGCAAGTTGGCACAAAGTGGAAGGTAATGCTGTCAGATCCCTTGCTCGTGGTGTATTGCGTAATGACATCTCTTCAAGGCTCAGGGGCCACAGGGGGAAAAGTCAAGAGGGCAGAGGGCTCTCACGGCCCCGGCTGGGTTATGTGGCTCTTGTTTCTAAGGACAGGGTCCTCGTAACTGCTAGCACAAGGTGGCGTGGAGGCTTCCAAGGGTAAGCCCTGCTGTTGGTATCCGTAGTTGACATTCCCACAGGGGAAGTGACGGAGCCTAAAGAGAGGCACTTCTTTAACACTTGCTGTTAGGGAAGATGGCTCTAATAGCAGGGAGGAGCCTGGCAGCTTGCCAGTCACAATGTTGGGCCCCACAGTACAGTTTCCTTCCTGTCCCAAATTCTCCCTCTCGGGCATCTCCTTATCCAGCAGAGAACTGTTTTTGCTGGCCTGCTTCTCTGCAAACCAGGAACCATAGGTTGGGTTCCAGAGATTGGTGGGCTTGTTTCTGGATCCTCGGCTTTTGTGCAGCTCGGAAGGGGGATTGGACTGGGCATAGGCCATGTTGATATGTCCTCCCGCTGAGGCTGACTGCACCTTCCCTGGCACTGGTGGTTCCAAGGCTCCTACTTTCCCTAGAGGTTTTCCAGAAGTGATGGCTGACGGCAGGGGTGGTGGAGATGGCAGAGTTTGCTTGTCATCCTTCCTGTCTTGGTGTGTGGAGACCAATAGAGGAGGAATTCCTTCTGGATCATTGGGGCGCATCGCTACCGTCTCCTCCTCCTCAGCTGATGGACCATATTCTACTGGCAAAGCAGTGTTGATGACATCTGGATCCTGCCAGAGAGAAGAATGAGAATTTCTAAGTGTCTCATGCATACTTGGACTTGATTAAAAACCCGACACATCTCACAGCTGTCATGCTATGATCACAGAGCGTTGTTCCCATTACCCAGAGCCTACATTCCATGTGTAGAGAATGCTGACAAAATTCAGTTAGCCATGAGATGCAATGGGATACCCTTAAAATCGAACTCTTTAAAAAAAACAACCACCCTAAAACTCACCACAGAACAGCAGAGGCACAAAAACAATGAAAAACATTTTTTACGTCCAGCCAAATTTCCTCTGGGAATGTTGTTTTGCAATCTATATAATCTCAAAGTTCATAACATTCTCAGATAATATTGAGAAAGTTTCAGCCATGAAAGTATTGCCTCCACACAACAAGGGAGGAATAGGAATGCAGAGAGAAGGCAATACTGGCAGACCCCTTGAAGCCTGAATCCACAGGGACTGCGGTTCTGAGCTATTTAAGCAGTTTTGAAAATTAAACTGAGAGAAAATGTGGTGATCTAGGCAACCTTTAATTATTGCTAGACACCATGGCAAGCTATAGAGAGCAGAAAACAATACCTCCCAATCTCAGGATCCAAACACACATGATAAACACACCAAGCCTCCCAAACGGCGAGGGAAAGCAAACTGACTGAGGCAAGTAACTGTGTTAGGCCACCCAAAATGCCTGTGCTGTTGCAGGCAGAAAAGCATTTTCCAAACTACTCCACTCCTCGTCAGTAAAAATGGTGGTAAAAAATAAATAAGTAATTTCAGCCTGGAGAGACAGCCACATCCTTTCCTCGTTGCCTAGCCTTAGAATTCCCACTCCTTTAGCATGGCTGTTTCCACCTGCCTTCTCCAGCTCAGTCAGATTCAGAAAATTGCCCACAGCTGCAGAAGCCACCTGCAAAGGGTGCTCTGAGCCAGGACCATTTCTGCTCAGTGCTGACCGTGTCTTAAGGGTAAGCACCGGGATGGAGTGGCTGACATGAAGCTAGCCTGTCTTAGTTCTTTTGCTTGTTGGCATCTCTGCCTTTACAAGCAGACACAGAGCTACAGGTCTGCTGTTTGTAAGCCTGTGCTTTTCCATAGTGAAAGACAAGAAGGATCAACCACCCGATGAGGTAGATATCCCAGCCACTGGTCCCAGGCTGACATCAGTTGCCCTGGACTGCTGACTGCAGCAATGCAGTGCTGCCTTCTCATCTCATGATCTGGCCCGCTTCTCAAGAAGAACCCTCTCCACCCATCTCATTTGTGACGAATGAACACCGATACCTGAGTGCAGTACTCAATCCTCTCCAGGATTATGGCAAAATTTGGCCGGTCTTCAGGCTGGTGCTGCCAACACTGGGTCATAATGCGGTAACTGAAAGAGCAGAATGCAGATGCTCATAAATGGCAGATCCTGTTGGTACGTAACAGCTAGTCACTGCAGCTTAGAAACCACAAGCATGCATCACCACTCTGACTTCTAACAAATAAGAGTGCTCTGCCTTCCCCTGAGTTGGACAACTGAGGTACTAGTAACCACTGAAACGTGGCCACCAGTGGAGTGAAATCCACAGCACATCAGAGAAATAACATACCCACCCAAAATCCCTTGGATAATTCGCTAAAGGTAGGCAGGACTACAGATAATGGAGCCTAGTTTTCCCTACCAGTGAACAGTCTTATGCACTTGCAATTTCACAGCTAACCTAAGACACAAAAATATTGCACCATCTTTGACCAAACAAGCAGTGGCCAGTAATTCTCAAAGGGGCCCTGAGTTATTCTCCAAAATAGACAGAAAAAAATAAATAGTAGAGAAATCATTGGCACTCAAGTCCAATAAGGCAGATTAGCCACAATAAGATGAACTCTAAAAGTCATTAACTTTTGACTAGAGAACAGCATTTGAAACAGAAACTTATTTGCATGAATACATCAAAGTTAAAATCTCATACACAGGGCCAGGGCAGTTTTTAGGTGGATCCATCCTTCCTCCATTGGTGACAAACTCCAGAACTTCCTGGTTACTTTTGCTAGGGTAAGGCATGTATCCCAAAGAGAATATCTCCCACAGCAATACGCCAAAGGACCTGAATACAGAAGCGAAGGAAAACAAAGTGAAGGATACAGGAATGACCATCACTGAGGGGCAATGCCCTTAGGTGCAGTACCACCAGCATTGCTCTGCAGTCTGTGCTCAGGCAGCTTGTGGAAATCACTGCTGCAGGATTCAGACATAAATAAGCTGCACAATTTTAACAGTGGACTTTGAATGATTTAATACTAGTAGTTGACTGTTAAGTGAGTGAAGTCTACAATATAGGTAGGTAAATATGGTTGCTTTGCCCTCGTACTCAGCACTGTTCAGCTAGACGTAATAAACGTCAAAGTCAGGTTATGCTTTGCTGAGACATCAGCCACTGCTGGAGACAGGACTGAGTGGAGCAGTGACCTGATCACTTATGACAAACTTTTCTTCTTGAATAAGCTACCCTGCATGAAATAACATGCCAGTGTATCCCCACTAATGCTCTGAGCCCCAAAGACCCCACCTGTAGCTCAGAGTACAATAAAAACATTCACTAGCTGACACCACAACCCCAGGGCCTGTGTGGTGTGGCCTGCAAAGCCCTGGGGACAACAATTGGGACAGGACACCCTCCAAAGCATTCATCTGGTCAGCTGCCTGGAAATCACGATCTTGTTAGTTAAAATTGCAGAGTGCTATGTGCAGCAATGGGAAACTCCTCCACTTGGTGCTGAGACAGGCAGCAGCTCAGCTGTATGAGAGAACGTACATCCACCGCCCTGCTGGAGCTTGCTCGGGAGCTGTCTCCTGACCACCAGCCCCTTCCACTCCACATCCACATGTCCTGAGCTCTTGCCTCCTGCTCACCAAATTTCCCTCCTTCTCGTCTGGCCACCGGCAACTCAAGAGCTTACAGTGCTGCTGCCAGGAGAAAGATGAAAGCCGCAATACATGATGCCCCTCTCCCTCACTGGCAGGATGGATCCTGCCTGCAGTCTCCTGTGCTGCTTTCCTCAGTGTGGAACTAATGCTTTCCTCCCTGTAGCAGCAAAGCAGCACCTGCCTCAACCTCCCTCCCCTGCCTGCTCACCTCCCCAGCAGCACTGGCCTTTGCACACATCTGATCTTTCCGTTCCCTTGTCTCCTCCAAGATTACTGGCTCTGAAAGACCCAGCTTGTCTTTTTAATAAAGGAGAATGAACATGTGTTTTCTACAAAATATTCACAAAAGGGGATATATATATATATATATATATTTACAAAAGAGGTTGCAACACATACAGACAGACTGGACAGAGAAGGAAAGGAAGCGCACCATGTGTCTGTTTTTGATGTAAATATCCCTTCCATGAAAGCCTCAGGAGGCATCCATTTGACAGGCAACATTGCACACCCACCCTTCCGATAGTAGCTGGCTCTGCAAAGAACAAACAAAACAGAGTCAGCCAAGAATTCAGAAAATGCCATTAATTTGGGATTTTTACAATTACAAATATTAAAATTACGGGCCATAGGAGAGACTAATTCAGGCAAAACAGCATGGCAGAGAAAATGCTGAAGAGACCTGTCCCTTCTCACAAATAAAGTGGAAATGGGCAGACCATGGTAGGACTGCTCTAATCTCCCTTGCTTAGGCCTGACCTAGTGAATCCAAGTTTATCCTTATCTATGTGCATACTCCTAGTGAATTACCCATATAGTAAAATACTGCTGGTGGAGGCATCCTCCTGCACTTTTCAGGCACAGCAAGATCTCCACATTACCTCACACATGGTCACCTTGAGCACCTCCACCAAAAATAAACAAAGCATGTCCCACATACACCCAGTCTAAAGCGCTGCAAGTGAAATCCAAAACCCTTAGTGAGAACCACAGGTTGATGAGGAGGATGCTTGGCTGTTAGCGCTGAAACAGTAGTATAAAACCCACCTCCCATGCTTCTGAGAAAGGAATAAATCTGTTCTTTAGTGCCATTGTCATTTAAAACAAAACCTACAAGCCTCAAATCCTGTGCTGGCAGCTGCAGGAGGCTGCTCATGCAAGCTGGTATCATCATAACTACACAGCCAGAGCATCCAAAGGATGTGCAAACATGTGCAAACTTCAAAGACACCTTTGAAAACTCAGCACCAAAGTGTTCATCTTGGCAGTGGGTTCTGCTGATTGTGTGAGTGTGACACATGCTACTTTGTCCCAGCAGACTCCCGTCTGACAATCGGGCAGAGTAGGGCTTCTTTGTGAGAAAGAAGAGGCAGCGGGGTGGGGGGAAAGCAGGTCTTTTGGGTTTTTGAAGGTAGCACTCTGTATCACCTCAGGCTGTGATACTGTCAGATCTCAAGCTAAGCAGAAGCAGGCCTGGCTTAGTAATTGCACAGGAGAATCCCCAGGCAGGGAAAAAAAAAGGCAAGGCACTGGAATAAACAGTGCAGGTGACTGAGTACAAGGCATTCCTTCCTCCCAATCAGAGGCAAATCAATTCCTCAGCACGGCAGGACAAGGTACTGAACTTCTGGAGGTGCTATCTGGAAGATGAGATATCAAACTACAGCCCTGACTGCTCATGGTCATTAAAGATTTCCTGGCACTTCTTGCAAGAGCAGAGTAGTTAACCCTGTGTCCTGGCTGAATTCCAGTTTGGGTGATTACATTTTCCTGACCTTCCCCTACACCTTCTTCCTTTATCTGCAGTAAATTGAAGAGATTTACTGACGACACCAAACCAAAGGGGCAGGGGTAGCATCAAGGAGAGAGATTAAATTCAGAATGATTTGAGACCACAAAACAAAAGGGCACATCAATGCCATTCATTGTGGAGAAAGTAAAGACAAGAAACTGAGGACAGAGTACAAGAGGGAGGAGAAATGCCTTCCATAGCTATCAGACTTCATTACCCATAAGAAAGCTGTCAGGAGTGGGAAATTTTTCCAAAGCACAGTTAAACTGCCGATGAAGGCAAACACCAAAAAAAGCATTAGCTGGGATTCATCAAGGTGGGATCTCCCCACCCTCGCCTTGCTACGGTTACGCAGAGCAGCATACGAGCCTACTCTCCTGCACAAACAGCACTCCTCCCTCATTTTAGCAAGCTTCCACCGGCAGATACCCTGGGCTTAGCTTCGCTACCTGTATATATCCCGGGCCATTCCAAAGTCTCCAATTTTAGCCACTCTCCCAGGCCCTCGACAGGTAAGGAGGCAGTTCCTGGCAGCAATATCCCTACAAGGAAAGGAAAGAAAAGCAACAGAAAGAGAAGAACCACTTAATCATTCAACAATTTTGCAAGCCAAAAAGAAAACAAAGAATAGTACCTACTTTCCTGAGCTGCAGAGAGCCCACAACAGCCAGAAAAGTCAGTGTTTATGGATAACTAGTGATGTCCCAAATGCCAATCTACCCCAACAGCAGGAGCAGTTCCGCTCTTTAACATTTCCTCTTAAATTTATGTAACATCTTCCAGCTGAAAGGATGGGCCTCCTGTGAGCCTCCCTTCAGCCCAGGAGATTATTTTTAAGTCTCTAGGGAGTTGCAAGCAGTGGGGCTGATTTCAGCAATGTACTAGTCCCAGCATCAAGCCATCTGGGGAATGATCCACTGACCTGTTACTACCATGCTTGTTCAAATATTGTCAGATGGGTGTCGTACTGTCAGAGACAGGAAGAACAACAATGTGCAGACGTTGCTCTGAAGACTGAAGCTATGAGCCTGAATCTGTGTATGTAGGTAAAACTCCAGCTTCACCTATGCTGGGCTGAAGTAAACCTTGAGATTTGAATCTAACATGGTGGCATACCTTGTGGGTAACTCTTTCAGAAGAGTGAACCGCAATCTCTCTCTACTCATTGCTACACAATGCTATGGGCAGAATTTTGGACACCCCCCAAACATCCTGCTTTGCAGGAGCAGGCAACAATAGTAACAAAGTATTGCATTTCTGGCTGTACTTGTAACGCCATTCTTCAAGAGGGTGAAGAAAAGGGTTCCAGAATGAGCGGAAAGGCACTAATCAAAATTTATGATGGGAAGATCTTTGAAGACTTCCGTCACAAGATTGTATTTCCATTTGCAGGGTAGCGAAGCAGGCTGCACAAGTGCAGTCACTGAGACAGAGCTCCAGATCTTTGGTAAAACTAGTCCTCTGCAACCTGATTTATAGCAGGCTTTCTGTTAATTGCTTCTATTATTCCGATTTTATCTACCTTGTTTAAAGGTATCCAGCCACTAGAGTGCAGCAGGACATAAACATATCAGGCAGGGCACTGCGAGTTCATGCTGGCCTGTATGCAAGCCATGCCCATGCTGACACAGATGCATTCACCTACCTGTGAATGAAGTGGTTCTCCTCCAGGTACTGACACCCACAAGCGATGTCACGAGCCACATGGAGCAAGTCCAGCATGGAAAGGGAGGAGGGCTGATTCTACCAAAAGACAAGAGACAAACATGGGTTAAAAAGTAAGAACATGACATGATTCATCACATGGTACAGTGCTGGGAACTCTCCAACAAGTGACATAGCTCAGATGTTAATACACAAAGGGATTGCAAAAATGCACAAGGGAGAGTTCGTATCTATGAACTATGCAAAGGATGTGCACGCACAATGTCATACAAATCCCAGGGACAGAATCAGAACAGCTGGATCTGGCTTTTCTGCTTCATTGGGATGCCCCTCTAAGAATTTCCCCCAGTTCTCATGGGAGACGCTTCTGAATTTTCAGCGTGATTTTTGAGGAGATCTGTAGCCTGAACTGGTCCTCACTCAGTTACTCTGTATTATTGCTAGCTCCTCTCTAAAGTCACCTTGAACAATGAGAATGACATTTTGTATAATGGCATGAGTCACATTTGCTCGTTCCCTCCTCCACATCTGTGTAGGCTTTATCTTGCCCCTCAGAGCACTGACACAGGTTTGCATAGCCAACAGCTATGGAAGACTAAGGCTGCCAATTCCTTGTTCCCACCCTCTAGTCTACAGCCCTTGCCAGCAGGAGCCAAGTGCTTTAGTGAAAAGGGCAGGCTTAGCACCAGCTTGCATTTGCCGGCCTCTGAAGCCAAACCATCAGCTTCTGCACTGAGGTGTGAATCAGTGTTTCCTGCTGCCATTCCTGTCGGGGAGGAGGAAATCGCTGCTGCCAGTGGGATGATGACAAACAACTGGGTGGCAGTGACTGCTTCTTCCAGAGGAGCCATTTGCTAGCTCAGTTTTTATCTGTGGCCTTAGTTATTGGATCAAACAAGCCCATCCCACCCTCTAGTTCTCTCTTATGACACCTACCATTCTGTCCAGTGCCCAAAAGGCACGCCTGCCCATGGGTCTCTCCCACTGATGCTAAACCAACAGGGGTTCTCCAGTGACAGGGACTGCTGGCTCTGCCAGCCTGTCATGTTGAAACATATCTCCAGACTGATGCAATGCTGTGCTGGCCATCCCATCTGATCTAAATCACTGCTAACTGGGACTGGAAACAAGTCTAGGTTCTGCAGCAGGCAGCAGCCAGTAGTTAAACAGTGGGCATTGGCTGGTAAAACCTAAAAATATCTTAACGTCTTCTGAAGAGATTAGGAAAAACCTGGCCTCAATACTTGACTAATGAAATAACTGAAAAAAGCTGCATCTCTCTGTGAACAAAGGCTGTTTTTTTCAGTGCAGTGCCATAAAACAAAATTGTTTCTGACTATGTATCACCTGCCCATATTTCGTTATTTACACAGTATAGTTCATTGCATATATATACTTAACTGATTCTTTAAGACTGGGCTGCATCTCCCCCTAAACCTTTCCTTTTGCTGAGTAACTATTTCCTGAAAACATAAAGCCTCTCCCCCCTCCCTATCTTTTGTGGCAGTAACTGCTTTTGTGGGGAGGGGGGAATAACCTTTTTTGCCTCTGTGAGTTGAAGTGACTCACCAGCTACACGAGATTGCTATAGTAAGAAAGGATGCAGATGCCTTCTTTTTCCCTTTCACAGCATAACCAAAGGGAAATGAATATCTCGATCTACCCATTCCCTCCTCTCCTGAGCAAGGGTCGGAAACCTGAAGTGAAAACTGAGTAAAAAGCCCTATTTTTTACTGTGCAATCGATTCCAAACCTAAGCTATACCGTGAGGCAGTCGGTAGGCTGAAGCCAGAAGCTGATTTGAACAGCATAGCTTTTTTCTCTTTTTCCCTGTTTTTCTGCTCCTTCCCCTCCTTGGATGAATTCCTTCCATCCTTTACTTGGCTAAACACAGTCCTAAAACAGATGTGACTGCCCAGCCAAGGACAATTTAGCCATGTTATTTGTTTGAAAAATGGAGGTTTGGGATTCATTTTGCAAGGGGAGCAGCCTTGAGACACCAAAGGATTCACTTTGCAGCTTCTGCTCCCCAGATGAATGGACAATGCTAGCTGCAATGCACCGCTACGCAGAGCAGTGGGCATGCTGGAAGCACTAGTGGGATACCTCCCTGGGTGAGGCTGAGTATCGCTAAAGGTGAATGAAATTCTGTGTATTGTTCGGTGTAATCACTGCTCTGTGCAACAGACTGCACAACACAAAGAAGGGGAATCATTTATCTGTATACGATTTATCTTCCAGAGCTGCTGTTTGATTGCTATGCTGCGTATGAGAAAGATCAGTGCTGAACTTCCCAATGGACAATTCTGCAATGCTCACAATGAGCGAAGGCTCCGATTCCAGGCATCTCTGAATCTACCAGACTGCCTCCAGACGAGGGGGAAGGGGTAGCCCCGTAATACATGTGAAACTTTATTAGAAATGGAACACCAAAACCCTTCAAGGCTGTAAACTCTGGACCCATGGAGAAGTATGGATCTGAAGCTTATGGAGTAGACCTGGCTAGCATAAACCGACAGTATTCCGCAAGAGCCACTGGTATTGTATCAGTGATGTTGGATGAACATTTGGCTTACACATATGATCATTCTTGCTTAGAGTCCACAAAAATCATTACATGTTGGCTGAACATGGCTTTCATTATTTACATGAAAAACACAGACAAACAACACACAATAACCTGTGCTGGCAGCATCTTGATCTCCCATTAAGTGGAGCCCATGTCCTCACACCTCCCGCGGTAGCTCTAGCTTCCCATTTCACGTCCCTCGCAATGTCTTAAGTTCCCCCTTCCCTTGCTTCACCTTCTCCTCCACCATTCCTTCTGCTCTCTTCCATGCTTTTCAGTGGCTGAGTGCATGGCAGCATGTTGCATGTGTCTTGCTCCAAGTCACACAGGCTCTAACTGGCCAGTGGCAAGCCAAACAAGACAACTGTTTTGCTTCAGTGGTTGCTCTAGTGTGGTGCTTTCTTCTTCCTGAAGCCTTGGAATTAATGCCAAGTTAATGCCTTTCACACCTCTGTTAAATTTGACTGAAACTGGCAAATGAATTCAAAGTTACTGGCAGGGGAGTAGGGGGAGCAACTGGGGGATGAAGGTAGAGAATGAACACATAAATCTCTCTTTTGCAATCAGGCTGAAAGCAGAAGTAAGTGGGAAAGACAAGGTAGTAAGGAAATCATCTGGAAAATACAAAACCACAAAAAACAAGGGGAAATGACAACAATAATTCATATGGTGCTTACTGCACAGTAAGAAGTGCACCTCTGTTACCGAGTCAGTCAGCTAAGTCTTGTGTGTTCAATTAATTCCTGTTGGAAGCAAAGCTTATTGAAGCCTGTTTACTCTGCCCTGTTCCTTGTCTTTCCTTTCCTTTAATGGGCCTGGAAAGCTAAACATCCAGTCTGCTATGCCTACCTTCTGCCTATCTTCCTTGAATGAGCAATAGGAGGAACAAAGCAGCTCAGAGTTCATTAAGAGCAGTGCAAAGACACATCCAGCAGTACTGAGCCACAGGCCTTATGTACAGAGACTCTGTCACACCTCAAGTATATGCAGAGGATAAATCAATTTCCACAGCTGGATCCCATACTTCACAGAGCACAATGCCCCGCACACATCTCATCTCTCATCAGTCTGTCTCCTAGCCTCATAGTTTCTGAGCCAGCAGTCAAATGTGTGCACCAGAGGCTGACTTCTCAGCACTCACAGGTGCCATTAGCACCTCAGAAGCAGCCCTGGCAGCCAGACAATGAATTACTTTTTCATTCTCACCAGGCAGCCACCACATGGGATGGTACCAGAAGCAAGGCAAGGCAAGGGGTAGGAAGGTGTTAGAAGTGGAGCAGAAACATGTGGATCTGTGACTGCACACAGTCAGGCTGCCCACATTCACCCAACTGTTAAAGAGGGACTGGACACTGTTTTTCTGAATCAGTTCCAACTTGCAACTGCTCATCTGCATTTGAACCTCAGCTTTTCCAAGGAGTGACAGTCATGGAACAGAGCAGAAAACAGAAGCATCAGTCTCAGGTCTGCTTCAGTCCTGGGAACAAGTTAAATGCAGCAATAAGGGAGGATCTTAAAGGTGCTGGGAACAGCCCCTGTGAGTAGCAGTAGTTATGGTCAGTCTCAGATAACCTCAAAGAGGTCAGGAAAGACAAGGAAAGAAAGGAGAGACTGTGAAGGCAGAAAGAGAAATACCAAGGAAGTAATTATGCTGTGCCTGGAGTGAACCATCCACCTCTTCTGACATTAGCTTTCACAAGGGTTGCAACAGAGCTACCACTAACAGAAATGGAAGCCCTGGCATGCAAGGAGGAACTCATGACGAGGTAAGAGCAAACAGAAAGAAACCCCTCAGATCAGAAGGCTCCCATGACTGCATCCTGTAAAGATTAAGGGATTTTCATTCACAAAAGCAACTGGTTCATTTTACTGCATGTAGGTAAAAATTCGTGCTGTTCAGGACTAATGTTCTTGGTGCTTCCTCGTAAGATCCTGATCATTACTGAGCTGGCTTCTTTCTCTAATTTGACGAGATAAAAAATGCTTCCATTGCAAAATTATGGATGCCCTTGCCCTACACTGTCCTGTTTCACCTGCCACTTCACACATCTAGCACAGCCTGTCCTAGCAGTTTTGAACACAGCACCTACTGGGCAGCATAACTGGCCCATGCCATTTTGCTCTCCATCAGGTGAGAGCAGAGCCCACATTGCAAAAGATGAATTTCCCCATTCACCTACCACCAAGTTCAGCCCATTTGTATGAGCTAACAAGAACACCTCTAGGTGCTATAGAAAAGCAATCTCTGTTTATAAAGACTGCTTGCTCGGATTTCAAATATCTTGATTTTCTGGGTGTTTAGCATTCTTACCCAGGCAGGAGCCACGTTATTGCAACCTATCCAAGACTGCGGTACTCCTGAGAAGCACAGAGCATTTTCTATGTCTGAAAACCAGACTGCAAAGAAAAAATACAAAGTCGATCTATTTCCAGATGCCTCGAGGAAGAATCTTATTTATATCTGTTAGAGCCAATTTGTGTCTCTCTTGTACTGATAAAATCCAGCATTTTGCCCTGTGTCAAAGAAATGTAGAGACAAAGTACAAAGCTGGGCTCTGGTGCTAACTTTCAACATCTGAGTGCCTTTCTGATCTAGGGACTCGGAGCAAACTTTATTTTTCTGATATACTGATTCCTCTCTAGAAGTCATAATTTATTTCTCACACATTTCTGACTGTCATTTGCTATTGAAAATCTTTAAAACTCTGGACTAAAGATATTTGCTATTAGGTCAACAGCTCCAGGCTGGATCCTCTCCCTGCCTATGTCAAACTTGCACTGACAGATATCCAGAGAAATGCAACTGATCAGCAGTTTAAATAACAGATTTGTCATTACTAACTCAAAACTTCCCCCCAACCCACATCCAGCTGGTGTGAGGAAAGTAAGAGTAGAGTTTAACTTTTTTTTTTTAAACTTTGATTTTGTTCTTTCTTTAGATAGTATCTGCAATGCTATCTAGCAAAGTCCAGGGATGAGGCACCTCTGCATAACCCTAGCAGCATCTGTTTCCTATATATCTGTGTCCTGCCCCCACAGCGGTCTTCTAGCAACAGAAATTTTCTGACCGTCTAAAACACTGGGAAAGAGAAGCAGCATGCATCAGCTCTTTTATAGTTATGTATTTGCCTTGTGGCAGCAGCTTACTAAATAAAATTCAATTTTCTCTTTTCTTACCGGTCTAGGCCGTGTCTCTCTCAGGAACGATTTCAGGTCACCTCCAGCCATGAGTTCTAGCAGGATGAAACGAGGAAGTGCCTGCAAGCTCACCCCAATGCAGCGCACAATATTCTGGTGGTTGAACTTGCTGTGGAGACAGGGAGACTCAATTATGGAGCAACTTTGATCAAAAAGCACAACTGCAGAAAAGAATCAAAATGTTTTGCTGCAGGGAATGTTTTGTGGTTTGTGGTTTTTTTTTCCAGAAAGTAGCAAATCTCAAAGGTAGGATAACTGGATAAACTGGATAAAGCTAAAGTGCTACCACTGCACTCTGTGTCTGTCTGCATAAACAAAGGTGGGGAAGGAGTGACTTTTGGCTGCTTTTCCTCTTCCTATATTCTGCATCCTTTTTGGGCTACAGCAAAATTTGTGGGCCATAGGAAGCAGGGAATATCTGATAACTGGGAAAAGTCTGTTTCTAATTTCCCTATCCAAGGGGGCAGAAATTGGCCTAGGGCAGAGTTGTTCCAAATAACATACTGACACAGGGATCTGCTTATGTAGGGGATATTCCTCAAGGTCTAGTCTCTAACACTTCCTTATTTCTCCAGACCTCAATGTGACGGGAAACTATTTCTATGGATTCTAGGACTCAGTCTCTGACATGTGACATGAAAGCAGCATTAAGTCAATGCCATCTGTTAGTTTTGACTAGTCAAATCCAAACTCCTAAAGTTTGTTTTTACCTCATATCCTGATGTCTAAGAGAAATCAAAGGATCCTACTGTCAATTCTGAAAACTGGACCTAAAGATTTTCACTTTGGATAACGAAAACCAGTGTGAACCCCTTTCAAAATTTAGCCCTTAATCATCTGATGCCTCTTCATTTATAAGAAGAATGGTAATGCCTATCCTCTCTATAAAATACTGGCAGCCATGCGCTAAAACTGCTATATAAATGTGTTGCATGGACATCACCTCTTAAAGCATCTTTCTTCTTTACACTGCTGGGCTTTGCAAGCCGACACAAGTGCTGTTCATCTTATTCATACACACCTAATAATGAGAGCTTCCATGAGGAAGTCCAACTCATCTTGCTCTGAACACACTTCTGGCAATGTCTGGAAAAGAAGGAACAGGTTGACAAGGAGAAGATATTGAAACTTACAGATGTAGAACACCTGGCACAATCAAAAGCACTAACATTGTCTGCAGCAATCCTTGTTTCTCTAAAAGAAATCTCACTCTAAGGTAATAGCTAGACCATTACTCAACTAAACTGTGAAGCCTGTTGAAAGGTAAAGATCAGAACACAGGGCCCATCAAGGCCACTGTCACCCTGTTCCCAGCAAAGGAAGTAGCCCAGAGTGCACAGGGAACAGTGCTCAATATGTGGGACTCTGCTGTATAGAGGATGAGGAATGAGACCACAGTTTCTGAGCTTTCTGACAATTTCTGAGAATTAAACAATTCTCCTACCTCCCAGCAAGCCTGTGAACTATAACCAGCAGTAGGACTGTGCTGCTCTGTAACCTCTAGGAGAAAACAAGCTAGCTAGGCTGCTGAAGGCCTGGAGAACCCTACCAGGGTCTCTTAGGATTTAGCTTCACATCCAGTGCATATCCATCCTGTAATGGAGTGGTGAGATCCCTGGAAAACCAGCCAACTTCTACCTGCAGGCTCTTTGATGTATGTGCCAGCTGCTCTTGGCCCTGTAAAGATTTTTGGCCTCTGACTCATAGCCTTTGGACAGATTAACACACCAGGTGTAGCATGTGGAGGATGCACAGAAGATGGATTTATTTCTCATACCTGCAGTCCACTGCAGCTGTATGAGAAATCTTCGCCTATTTACTACTTACAGACCTCTTTTAATAGTCTCACAAGCCCATATGCTACAAGCTGTACCATCACTATGATGGATTAAAGTGTTGCAACAGAGCAGCAACCTTTCTAGCCACATCCTTCGGTACTGTAGTAACGTTTAATTCATCTTCATTTTTATAATGCATTGGGACTCTTGGGTGAAAGGTGCATGAAAACCATCATGATAACTCATACATTGTCACTTACTTTCACGGCCACCTGCAAGGGAGTGGGGTCGCTGGGGATCCCTGCCACCTGACCTTCATATACCTCACCAAAGGCTCCGTGGCCCAAACCCCTGGACAGACCAGAGAAGACAAGAAGGTTTTACTACAGAGAACACACACTATAACACTGTGGTCACAGCTCACAGAATGGGCTTACAATTTTCATGGTAGTGAAACAGGGAGAATTGGATAGTGACACTGACAATACCACTCCTTGCACTATGCAGGGGACCAGACCTTGATGTGATCTTTCCTGGACCTACAATGTATTTAATTGGTAGCGAAAGCAATCCTCAGAAGTGAACAGACCCCAGTTACACCCCAGCTGCTGGCACTGCAGTGTGTAACAGATAGCACTCTTCTATGGCTTTGATGTTGGTGCTCTAGTGGTGGGTGCTCCATAACAGGTCAATAAAGATAGGTCTTACGTCTTGGTGTTGCCATACCCTAAACACATTTAACAGTTCCCATAATGTTTATGCATCACCATTAAAGAAAACATTGAACAAGAAACAGGAAGCACAATGGTTCTCAAAGGACCTGAATTCTAAACCAAGTATCTTTTCCTGATTTATTTTGTGATTCTGGGTAAGTACCTTAGCCAATAAATGGTGATGATAGTGCTTTGAAAAGCACTCAGTTCTAGGCATTCATGCTGAGAATAATTTCTGGCACTGATCGTATTATGAAATTTACAGTTTTGTTTTGAATCAAGGTAAAAGAAAAAGAGAAAGTAATTAATCACAAAACAGTTCCTGACCTATGTCTTTGTGATAGAAATTTTGCATACCTGTCTATTCAGTCACCACTCGCTTAACATTAAGTCAACTGGTACAATAGCTATACCACACAGGAGGCATGTCATAATGACATAGTGAACTCTGCCAGAGAATGAGGCTGCATCCAAGATCCTGAGTCCCTCTTAACCCTGCATGGGCTGCCCACTGGGCAGTAGTAATTTGAGCCTCTAAAAGACATTCCTGCATCTTTCCTGGTAGAGCCAGGCATGGCCTGAAAGCTGTACTGATTCTGTTCTCTGGTCTATCAGTAGACTGTTTTTGCATGGGCTGTTGCCCTCCTGTCTGTTCAAACAGGTGCTGCTAAGGGCAGTCTGCTCTGTTGTTACATAAGGTCTGTGTAGTTTTGCCAGGATAAAGACCAGTCTAGGTAGTGAAATCACAGTGAGGACTCGCATTGCCTGTGACTCAAACAATTCTTTTAATAAAATTTTGTAGGCACCAGCTTGAGACACTATTCTTGGCTATGTGTGACCAACTTATTACAAGCTGAGCGTATAAAACAGATCTCTACAGCTCATAACTCACCCTCCTCCCAAAAAGCCCACCTTCCCTGCCCTTATCAATTCCCAGCTGTATCCTCTGCTCTCTGCAGCTTGCCACACTTCAAAAATCCTTTCAGAGCCCAAGTGACAAAGGCAGCAGCAGCACAGGGTACACTGGAAACTTCCAGATGCAGTCCAGCAAGGTGTGCAGGTAAGGGGGGATGAGATAAGAGACAGAAAAACGTTGCAGACTGCATGGACTGCAATCATCTTTTTTAGCACCATAAGCTCCCTAGTCTTCCAAGCTCTCCGGTTCTTGGCTTTTTGCATAAAACTGCATGGTACCAGGGTAACGTCACATTCACAGGTGTCATGCACTGTATCCTGCAGTAGAGCAAGGTAGGAAAGAACTCCTGAATTTTCAAGTTTTTTCTTAAGAGACTAATTAAAGTTATTTAATTACTTCTAATTACTATTAGAAATTCTGATCTAGACATGACTATCCTGCTGGCTTCATATTCCCGTCTTTTTAACAGTGTCTGGCAGTCTCAAACCCATGCTTTTCCTGCTATTGTACTTAAGGATGTCATTGTCTTTACTAAAGATCCCATCAAAGACTTTAAAAGAGCCTCCTACAAGCCTCAGCCTTCCCAGTATTTCATTAGTTAACACTGGAAATGGGCCATTCATTGCACAGTCTGCAAAGATGTGTCTGAATTACTGGTGATGACTTTTCAGTTCCTCTCATAATCCCAGAAGATTAACACTGCACCTGTAAAAGGTCAAGGAGACTGCTGAAACGTAGTGCCCTCCACACAAGCCTAACTACTGCAGCTTTACATCTTCTTATGAAATGGGGCATGAGTCTAAAAGTGCATGAGAATTTGTACATGCCTGCACAAAGACATGAGTTCACACCTCTGTAAGACAGCCAGCATACACTGAGTGTACAGTGTAAAGCATGGGGAAGGCAAAGATGAATTTACCGGATGAGGGAGATGTTTTTTCGAGGCACCTCTTTGAGGTCACTAATGGATGTGGTCTTTCCTGCAAAGCAGTAGTTGGGATTGTAGTCTGTCATGATAGTGGAGGTACGCAGCTTGCTCAGTTTATATTCTGGGCTCTGTAACTCCATCTGCATGGCTTGTAGCTCCTGGTGCTTCCGACGATATACTAAATATGGAGAACACAGTAAACCAGAGACACAGATTGACTTTGGAACAGGACAGCAGCTGTGCAGCACATCTCACTGGAATTTGTTGTGTGGCCGAATTTCAGTGAATCAAAACAGACAGTGACACTGTCATATTTCTGTACATGAAATAATTACAGATAGAAAATGGAACCTGAAGTTATCCAGGAACCTTTAATTTGCACATCTTATAAAGAAACAGGCTTGCTCATGAACAGTTTGGAAGAAGTAAAATGAATTTCACTTGCAGAGATCTCTGATTTCACAGTTCTGAGGCTTTTGTTTTGTTCTATTTAGTTTAACTGGAGCTTCCAAGTATGAGTCCAGTTCCAAACTTGAGGGAGTCGGGGTATAACCAACTTTCCTAAATCATGTAGAAGTGACTAAAATCTGAAATTAATTATTACATCATATTGTTCAAAAAGGATAGACTAAACTGTTACCTCAGAATAACACATTGTATATAAAACTCACTCATTTTGCAAAACTGCCTCTGTTTCTAAACAAGAGACCTGGACTAAATTTGAAATCAGCTTATAGTACTGTTATATTCCTTGAATTTTTTCACTGATATTTCTGAAACATCATTAGAGATCACACCTTGAAAGAAGACATCCTGTGGATACTCCTTGAAATAGTAATTGATATTGCAGTATTTTTTTCAAAGCAAGATGCCGATCGTGAGCAGGTTAAATCACTATTACCCTTATTATTGATTTCTGTGGGAGCTGGATTGAGCCCAAAGACTGTGACGGTAATAGCTATTGCATCTTCTCCAGCAGATGCTGCTCAGGGGAAGAATTTAAGGGGTAAACATGCACTCGCAAAGGCAGACAGATGTAATGACCTATCCACAAACCCTTTCTCTCCTCCATTTTCCTCCTCATTGCTTTTCTCTGATTTTTTAAATCGCTGCTCTTTCCTGAGATGGCAGTGATAGGCTAGTTGGATGGAAAGAGGATTACTGTTCCACTCCCTGAGAAGTAATTTGTAATTTTAAAGGGGTACTGTCAGGACAGAAATCATACATGTAGGACCATGTGTGTGCAACTGATAACTCCTGAAATTCTTAAAACTGAAACAGCTGCGCAAATCTAATTTAATAGCTGCCATTTGCTGCTCTGTGTACATCCCTCCCCTGTCCCAGACTATATACAGTGTGGTCAAAGAAAGGTGGCAGAGCTGTGGTTTGAATCCCTAACTGCTTTTCACTGATTCAAATCTATTCTGTTTGCAATCAAATGCAGGTTAGCTATTGTTTAAAATAAGAAAACAAAAAGGTGAAAAATACCTTTTAGAATTTCAAATAAAGATGCCAAGAATGCCCACATTCTGCAAAGTAACAGTTTGTAAAAGGGCACTTATATGAGAATTTCAAGCTTAAAAGTCATACATTAAGAGGCTAAATCTGTACATAGGCACAAAAATAAAGAAGTTTTCTTTTAAGCATTAAGCACCACAGCTCTCACAAAACCAGTGGCAGCTGTGTTCTTGCAGCTTTACACTACCACACAAGTAATAATGTCTCTTTCGAGATGCAGTCAGTAACTGAAACCTCCTCAAATTGGTCACTGTGTTTAGAAATAAATACTGAAATCTGAAGTTTAAGGCGTGTGTGGGGGAAGGTGTCATTAAATACAGCAGTAGCTAAAAACCTGAATCCTTTTGCCTCCCAGGGTCCAATTATTCCTGTTTCATATCCAGCCCTTATATGAAAATATCTTTTAAAGAGAAACACTCACCTATCATGATTCCTGAAAAAGCCAAAATTAAAGCAGCCACCAATGCTGAAGTCACTACAGACAAGACCAAGGAAAGAGGGAGATGAACCACTGGTTCAGCTGTAACAGAGGCAGAAGAAGGAATTACATGTTTAAAATGGTCTTCCAGCAGCCACTTCTCTGCAGACAGATTTTTCTGCTCTTCTTTCCATTTACTCGTCTGTTGCTCCTATAGTATAGTAGCAACCTCTGACATGATCAGTTCTCAAGTTCTATGACCCTTAATACCTCATTGTTTAATTTTTTTCAATTAATATCAAGCAATTTAAACAGATTGTTTGCTATCAACAAATTAATTTGTGTACTCCTTGGTTTTCATACCAAGACCATAAAAACCAGGGGCAGAAGGTTGAGGAGGTAGAAAGAACATTACATTGCCAGGGTTAAAGTGCTTCTATCGGTGCCAAACCACAGCAAAAGCAGAAGGAAGACTGCAATATATCATCTCCTAAATGCATCTAATCCAGGCAGAAAAACCTGATAACAGTAAGTGTAGTACAAAGTATTCCATAGCTGCATCCTCATTTGGGACCAAAAGGCATTTAGTGACCGTCTATTAAGGTTTTCTCTGCCCTGGCAAAATGATCTTGCTTTTTATGCATTTTACAGATGGGAATGGTAAAAATATAGAACAATTTTCCCATGCCAGTGACAAAGCTGGGACCAGGATCCTGAAACCCTGGAGTCACTTGCTCTAACTGCAGGGCAAGAATATGAAGGAAACCTAGTCATGGAGCTCTGAGCACTTGGTTTTTCAAGTAAGACAAGTACAGGCACTGTCTTTAGTTTTCCTCAGAGATCTCACACAGAATTTCTTATAGAATCTGCACCTGCACCTTATATGTCCAAATCCACAGGAATTATATTCTTCTTCACCTTGTACATTTTTTGGTTCTTAAGAGGACTGACCTGGAATTTAAGTTTAGCTGCAAAATTCCTTCAGTGAGAAAATTTTTATGATTTCAGAGCAGAATGTGAGCATCAGCACAACCAGCTGCAAAATTTGACTCTCCTCAGTGCTGCCCAGTATACCAAACATATACTGTAAAGCAAACCAGCAATGCTGCTCTGTGCACCATTCCTCAGCATTGATTTGTCTATATCCCAGCAAAATAACCCTGTAGCATATACCAGCAGGAAAGAAGGTAACATTCAACAGAAACCAGTTTTAAGAAAGAGCAGATAATACTTTCAGGGTGTCTTACAGTCCAAACTACAGATTTTTGCCATGCATTTTCTGTTTCACATGCTAGCAGCCTACCCCCTACACGTACTTACCTATGCAAGACACACCATCCTCAGCCAGCTCTGTGCCTGGCTCACAAAAGCAAATGACTTTTTGAGTCTCAAGATCAACACGGCACTCGTCCATCTCACAGTGACTGCAGTTAAGATGCAGCCTAATATCCACCTCTCCGTGCCCCTCTGTCACTAGGGAGTGGATGAAAGAAGCAGAGTTAATTACCATAAAGATAATTCATATTATTCCCTTGGGCACTAACAGAAACAGGGGACATGGTGGTCACAGTTGCCAAATGTAGCAGAGTGGGCCCCATCTAACAAAATGATTTCTCCCCACCTCCCATAGCTCCTGCACTTTTCTCATGTAGAAAATAACATCCAGCTAAATTAGCCCACTGCAGTTGAGGTACACTGGCTCTCTGAGCAGATAGTCCTACGAGGTTAGCAAGGAGGCTGCTGCCGAGCCCAAGGGAAACCTGCCCTTTCAGCAGTCCATGGAGCTCACCCTTTTCTTTCCTGGCCTTTACTCCCTCTGAGATCAGACACTGCAATATTTTAAAAACTTTCTGTCTGAATCTATCAGGCCAGAGTGCATCTGTATTTGAAAACACTTCCGGTTGTTCTAAAGCAAACATTTTTTTGGACAGCACTGCACTGTTTTCTCTAGAAAATCCCTGGTCCAACCTGGATACTTTGCTGAGGGATGCTTTAAGGAACATGTTTGTTAGTGAATAGTCAGGTGCTTTGTCCATTTCTTTCCTAAATTATCTGAACTATGAGGTTCTGTTACCACTTTTATTAGCCAAAATTATTCTACAGGTGGTAGACTATATTGTTGAGAAGTGTTTTTCAATAGCCTTGATGTTCTCTCCACCTGCTTTCTTCCTGCTACTTCTGTTTATTTTCCACTGGACTTTGTTATGCTATCTTTCTGCCTCCTCATGTTCGTGATGACACTAAGCTGTACCCAAAGGGTTGTAAAGTTTCCTACAGATGTAAGCTATTCTTAGCATGAAATAAATCCACTAGAAGACTTCTGACCAATAGGAATACCTTTAAGTGCTGGAGTGTATAAAGTACCAGTTGGATTAATAAAGGACACACCATCCTCCCCATCCATCTCTGGGTCATTGTCCACTGCAGCATTGCCACCTATGTCAAACCAGAAGTTACCTTAACATACTGAGGCTCATTGGCACTAAAATAAAGATAAGCATTGCAACATGCATGACTTCAGCATACTTAGGGAGGCATCCAAATGAGAAAAGAGAATAAATCAAAGTGTTTAACATATAGGGAACACTTAGTGAGTTGTGGCATAAACCACTGGTCTTTTATCTCTAGAACTTCAATTTAATAGCAGCAGATTGTGACAATCAATTTCTTAGCTCTGTTTTAGGCAGACCATTGCAAACTAAGGCACAAACTCCATCTTTAACCATTTGGATGCTGTGAAATATATAAGCTCTTCTTAAAATTAATGTGTCCAAGAGACTGGAAAACCTTGAGACCAGTACTCAAGGGCTTGATCAGTACCCTTGCTCATCAAGTTATGTACTGTGTCAGCAGGAGGAATGAATAATCTGATATCCTTCCTCTCCTTTGCACCCTGAAAGCAGGGTGGTCCACCAGGAGTGGGGACTTGAAGGAGCATATGAGTTGCTCATTTGTGCTTGGGCATATAGATCATATAGGAGCAAAGTATGGGCAATACATAAAACATATTAGAAACACAGTACAGGCCATGTATTTGGTACTACAAGCATGCAAAGATTCCCCCACCCCAAGCAAAAATGTTTTTTCCTCTTTAACCATCTTCAGGAAAATAAAATGATGTAATGTGAGGCATTCTGTTGGAAAAAGAAGCATTACACAGTAACATTGGTACAAAACATGCACTTAAATTCATTACTTCCTCTCAGGATTTCTAGTCTATCATACACTTGATTTAAGCTGTGGAGAACCTGGGGTTAAAAAGTCCACCACAGTGCAGATGGCTGAAAAACTATGTGGCCCAGGAGATTATGGGTTAGTAGACATCTTGAATCTGGCCCACACCAGTTATAATCAACATAATACCATCTGACAGCTGTCCTGAGACCTGCAGCACATGAAATTAGCTCCTTGTTGACTAAAGTCAACACCATTGTCGTTATTAAGAGGGGTCCTGGCTGGCAGCCTGAGCCTCTGCCCCCAGAGACCACCTGCACAGGACCAAGGCCCTCTCACAGAAGGGCAGGGTAGAAGAAGCTGTCTTTTCAGTCTTTGCGCCTGGTGTAAAGCCTGGCTGCCAGTCTCCAGGACCAGAGTCCTCAAAACACAGGTACTGGTAACAGGAGCACATAGCCTGTGGCTCCTCCTTCTTCAGCACTATAACCCCAAAATGGAAGGCTCAAGAATCACAGCAGGATCTTGATGACACATTTTGCAGAGTGCAAAGCCAGGATTACAGCTGAAGGACTGACATCTGGCTATTTGCTCAAAGACTAAATACCATACATTCATCTAGAGCTAAAAAGGCAACACACAGACATACTAGTACATAACAGTCAAATATGCTAGCTACAGAATTATCTATCAGTGTTTTGCTGATCATTAGCACTAAAGGAGGGGAAGGGACACCTTGAACACGAAGCCACTTTACCTATATATCCTCCGCCTCCTCCACCTGAGGAGCACCCCCCTCCACCCCCTCCGAAACCCCCTCTTGTCTCCCACCCCCACTTCTTCATGGCCTGGGGGCAGGATCTTCCTCCAGTAGCACCTTCCAGCAAGGATTTTCCTGACCACAGGAAGGAAGTGTTATCATTCCAGCCACCTCCACCACCTGCAGTTAAGAGAAAATAAAAGGCACAGGTAGGGGTTATTTTTGTGTAAAAAACAATGCAGGGATCTGGAGAAGAAGCATTCCTATAAAGCACCTCAGTTGAAAGTAAGAATCTCATGCCTTGGTTAGAAGAGGGGATGTGTTTGCTACACAGTGCTATAGTGGCCTTTCTGTAAGACCATGTTAATCGTCTGCACCCCTTTTCACCTACCATACAAGGGCAAGTATTTTCTATGGAAAATGTAAAAAGATATCCCTGCCTACTCCCCAACCACTTGTTTCTGGTGGGGAGTACCGGTTACTGAGCCTTCCCCTTCTCTTTGCAAAAAATACTTTTGAAAAAACCCTATATCAGTTTTGAAGTGGAACAAAAGGAATTCAGTGAAAGGGATGTGAAAACATGTTCCATCCCCGCTCTGAATACAACATACTCACCAGTGACTCACTTTCAGCTCTGCTGGTTGTTCAGTCCAAGGTCTCTTCACAGAGACTTCTAGCCAGGGTGCAATTATGCTCTTTCTGCATAAGCCAGGGAGACTGTGAGCATGTCTACACAGCACAAAACAGTGCAGGGAGCAGGATGGCCACATTGACACAGCAAACTGCCACATCAAAAATCAAACAACTTTGCTTATGAGAGGTACTACATTATTTTGGGAGAATGTTGCCATTGCTACTGCTATACCATCTCTGATGCCCTTATTTAGGCCAAGTATCCTGCACTGTGGGCACACCTTATATGGATCTGCTATACTACCATGTTCCCCCTGAACTGTGTCTTCATGAGTTTTGCATCATCTCCTTGTGAGGAGGAATCTGGGAGTACCATATATTCATAAAAGTTTTCTTAAAAAGAATACATTTTCCTTACCTGCAGCTCCTGAATTTCCATTTAACCCTGGAATAGAGGAATCATTCTCCAGCCTTTCTGGATGAAATGTGTCTGTTTTGGCCCTGTAAGCCCTGCCACCACCTCCTGCTGCAATTATCAAGGGGACTGGTTCTCCATTCTCCATCTTAACAAATTCAGAAATAAAGGCAGTGTTCAAACTGAGTCAGACATGCAAATGTAAATTCAACCACATGCTAGTTACTGCATGTTGCACTAAGCAGGCACCTAGGATGGCTCAGCACTACAAATTACCATTGCATTATTTATGCACTCACATCCAAAAGACTAATGAATAGCACTAGTCCTACCAAGTTCTGCAACAGAGAACAGTGGCATCAGCAGCTCTATGAATTGCACCTACAGTGCTGATGGCTCTTAGAAAGCTTGTAATGTTACCATGTGATGACTTTCATCAACTTAAACAGCTAAGGAGCACTGCTTTATATAGTGCAATGTAGTGTAGGTAAAGGACTGCTACACTGGAAACTGTCTGAGCATGCAGAGGTATGTAGAATTATGTAGAAGGTGGGTGATCTAAACATACTGTTGATGCCTGAAACTGGTGTTTGGAATGAGTACTGTCTCAGCTAGTACTTGACAGAAAAGTTCAGTGGCCCCTAGCTATAGGGTTGTCAATAGAAAACATACAGGCTATCCTCAACTTTTCTTGTCATAGGGCAATAGTTGAGTCACCATCCCTGGAGGTATTTAAAAGACATGTAGATGTGGTGCTTAGCAACATGGCTTAGTGGTGGACCTGGCAGTTCTAGGTTAACGGTTGGACTCAATGATCTTAAAGGTCTTTTCCAATCTAAATGATTCTATGATTCTAAATGTGTAGCTAAAGTCTAATGTTCTACAATAGTAGATTTGAATCAAGTCCTGTGGAATTCGTCCTTTGCTGTAGAATTATGCTTCAGCATCTCAGCCTGCATTGAAAAAAACCCAATTCAAACTATTATGTTCGCAAAGGAAACTCCAAGCCACTGAAGCAAGTGTGGCCGTACTGCACAGCAGTTCGAAGAAGTGTGAAGGGCCAACTCAGCTCACTACAGCTATCAACTGGAAATGAAGAATACCTGGCGCTCACTTTGTGGACCCTTGCCCAGAGGTGTATAAAGGGTTGTCAGATATTTCAGGCTGCGATACTAGAGGCAAGTGGCAGCATGTGTTCATGCTGGAGGTGCATGAGGACTATGTTTCCATACCTTAAATATGTAAGTTGCGCCTCCCCCGCCTCCACCTCCTCCTGCCCATTCATTGACACTTCTGTTCACACGTATCTCTTCTTCAATCACATTGTTCTCTCCAATGCAGACTTTCTGTATAACATCATTAGTCTGCAAACAGAAGATCAGATCTGAATTCTGGTAAGAAATCTCCATATCCTTGTACATCACAGGTCTTGTGGACCCTTCACCCTCCCAAACGAATAAATTGTCCTCCTGTGAAACTACATAAGTAGAAGCAAGTGAATGCTCTTCTAGAAGAATCTTGCTTTTTGCTTCATTTTAATTGAATTATTTTGAAGCAAGCTCAGTGCTGATATCTATTACCATGTAAAACAGCGCCATAAACTTTTAACATAGAAGATGTAGCAGAATTTACTGCAAATACTTCCCAGCATTAACTACCTGTATTTCACAAGTGAGGGAAGGGAGTAACTCAGCAATGATGTGACTTGCCCCATGTCATGCAACAGCCAAATGGCAGAGATATAGAGAGAACCCAAGTTTCTTTATTCCTCTTCCAGTGCCCTATTGGTTGGGGACCAGGCAGCCAACATGCATCAATCCAGAACTAAGATGTATTGGTGGCTCACATAGATGTACCAGAGCTACCTTTAACCTAGGTAGTCATAGTATGGACAGTAGCAATGAACTCAGCATAGACTAGCCACCTAATATTTATCTAGACTTCCAAGCAAGTTTTGATGTTTATCTGACATTTATGCTGTAGCAGTAATTTTACTGTAATTACCAGTGCTAGCTAGTTCAAAGCCGACCAAAACAGCTGCAGTCCCACCTTTGATTGCAGCGTTGACCTGATGGTAAAGAAAATGATTCGCTAAAGAGTCCATATTTCCTACTTAGTATTTTTTTCCCCTCCACCAATTAGTATCAAATGTAATGAACCATCTTCACTAGGCAAATCGCTGAATTCACTGATTTCAAATACAACTTTAAACCACCATTTATAAGTACTTCTAGACTATGACCTAAGAGAGGTAATTGCTGCTTTGATTTTAAATTGGAGCACTAAAGTGCATGGCAAGCAGGACTCTGCTGTGAGTATCTGTAAGTTGCAAGCTTTGCTTCTAGCTTATTTTACTTTATACATTTAATCTCAGTAACACTATCTTGTTATGCACACTGAACTCACTAAGTCAACAACACTTCAAGGGAAAAATGCACAGTTATTATAGTGGGATTGACCTTCTGCTTCATTCTACTTTCATGTATGTGTTTTCTTTTGAAAGAGGAACCTGATAAAAGCATCTTCAAGTTACAAATTATTCTGTTGACCACAAAATGTGTCCTAGGTTGTGCCAGAGAATGAATGGCATCCATTTTGTGTGTGCAGACTTGCCAATGGAACTAAACAATCCTCCTTTCCCTAGTCTTCCCTCTCCTTAATTGATTTGGAGTTGGGTGGGAATGATTAATAAAATGACAAAGTCAATGACCCAAAGGAACCACTAGATTACAATTGAATTAAAAAAAAAAAAATCCTTCATGGCGAAGACATAACTGATTACAATCCAATCTAGTAAAAGTCCCTTCTACAAGTCAATGCAATCTCTTTGCCTCAATGAAAGAATTACATTAGCACTCAATAAATTCTCACTAAGATTACAGTGGCCTGCAGTTTAATGAGTCCATATATTACACTCAGCTGGAATGTCCTAGTTATAGACGTTAGATGGAAGTTTGAGTTAGGGCATTTCTCATTTCAAAGAGGCTTCATATTAATGGTTTGTTTGGAGGTATGTATAACTCCAGTTTTAACATTATTTACTTCAGCACCCAGCCCTGAGAACCCCTCTTTCTTGCCTACATCCGTCAACCTTTCTCTGCTGTAACAGACTGCTAAGCTTTCATCTCTTGGATGCCAGCCATTAACAGTTGAGAAATGCACAGCAGTTAAATGTCCAGCTCAAACCCGTAGGTGAAATTTCATCAGATAGTGCTTAGTTTCTTCCATAAGAATCTTGTATTCCCTCATCCTCCAAAGAATACTAAAGAATTAATAGATTATTGTGCCTGCAAATGGTGGAATTTGCACCTTCCTGTCAAGGCATTTGCAGCAATGATTGGTTACTAACACAAAAATCAGGACTGACCCAGCAGTGATTGTCTCTCCCATTCCCATACAGAGAATAACCAAACAGGCCTTGTGACGTGGGTGTCTCCAGAGTTGCATAGTACTATGAAAATGGTGGGGCTGGGCTCAACAGGAGCAAAGACAAAGCCCTGTGAAGTCAACCTTGAAGACTGAACTCCAGAGGAAAGGAAGGCAGGGTTGTCTGTTCTCTCTGAAAACCCACACAGAAGCTCTGAGATATGCAGATCAATCATGAACCCATAGTGTATTATCAATGGGGCCTGAATGTTGAAGAGGAAGTGATCACCGTGACATGGTACTTCATCTTTTCACACTCATGCCCTCCCAGTAAAACTGTAGCTATCCCTTGAACCATAGAACTCGAGACCCCTCAGGGACAATGGTTTTCTCTGTAAACAGACAAAACACCATGGATTTGTAGAAGGGATTAAGGCAAAACAGAAAGAGCAATCACTTACGCTAGGACAAGCATCTTCTCCTTGCTGTCCCACCAAGATATACAAAGTATCATCCTTCTGGAGGTCAAAAATTCCCAGCACAGACACGCCGTGGGACCGCACCATGGTGTTCTTCCCTCCTTTCCCACCAGCAGCTCCATAGCCTGAGATGCTGCAGAAAAAGAAAACAAAAGCCTGGCACCTGAGTTGTCCCAGACAGGTGGAAGGTAGTACAAACCACTGCTGGGCACTGAGTGTTTTGCACACCTGAACTGTATACAGTGTCACAGGGCCATGCCCTGAAGACCTGACACTCTAAACAAATATAGACACAAAGCTTGAAGACTGAGGTTGTCTGCTCTACATGGACCTATGAACTTGGGTAGCTACAAAACAGCTTCTTTCACATTGATTCTTGGGCAAACACTCACTGAGGAGAGAGTGAGCAAGTCCCTGCAGTTTCAAAATTTAATATAGGAAACACATCTTCTTTCCCAGAAGATATACCCTTGAGAGGTTTGCAGCATGGAAGAGAAAGAACCGAAGCAGGAGAACTGGTAAGTACAGCACATAGGGCTAAAGAGAACATTAAGCACAATCTTGATGGGGGGAGATTAGAGAAAGCAGACAGCATAACTGGTCCTGGTAGCATGGACCAGATGGGAAATAGCTCTCCTATTCCAAGGACCAGAGGAATATAGAAGAGTAGATGGACATGACACTACCTGAAGTAAACAAAGGTGGCAAAAGCCCCTTGGCTAAACTCACAGTAACCATGAATGTCTCACTGTCTCCAGTCAGGAGTAGCTAGGTTGCATACACAGGCTGCTGCAGTCTCGATTAAGGCTCTGGGAATTTTATTTCAAGCAGTCAAGATTCAGAGGTCCTTACTGTTGTTGATGTACCCAAAGATTTGGCTGTACCACTGTATTGCTCAGTGCCTCCCTCTCCCTTTCTAAGTATCTAAATAATTTAAATACTTCAAGCAGCTTTTATCAAGGAATTTCGAAGCACTTTATAAAAATCATGATAAAACACATCTCTGCTGCAACAAAAGTCAGAGTTACTCAACTTTCTGAGCAAGTCAATGGTGGTACAGCAAGCCCAACTGAGATTTGAAATAAGCAGGTGACTCTCCACTAACATTAGTAGCTTTGGGGCTATTTCCATGAGAGCAAAATTCAACCTGGAGCATGTAAACAGTGACTGTAGGGCTAAGAACACAAAACTTCCTCTTGGCTTCCTAACAGTTACAGTATACGTGTTCTGCTTTAACTCCTCCTTTCCTCTAGCACCTGGTTTGTCTTTGCCTAGCACAATCCTGCACGCAAACAGGCTACAAGCAGAAGGAACCAGCAGTGCCCATTGTGCCTGAGCACCCTGAACAGGTTGGGCAGCCAGCTCACTTTCAGTCAACAGCTTGCCTTAACCACTAGCATGAGGAACTCACCTTGTAATATTGCTCTGAGGCAGCCAGAATGGAGCAGTTCTGATGTCGAAGCAACTGTGGAGCGTCAAGTGCCTCATAAAGCATATTAGATCCTCGCAACGTGATGTGATTATGGTCATGCCACTTCTGATAACCAAAGCGATCATTCCTCAGTAAGGCTGCACTGGAGCCAGCAGAAAAAGTGATGGACACAGCACTGGGCTACCCTGAACAGATGCTGCATGAATCTGAAGACTAAGTTGATTTGCTGTAGAATTTTGTAATGGCTAATGAGGTGCACTATCAGGCACAGCAAGCTGGCAGGGCTAATCGGCTGCAATTAGGGGCCATATTTTTCTGTGTATGAACAGATTTTGTATACAAGCAATGATGACAGGAAGTTCAGGAGAACCCATTTTGGCCTCATTCAAAAGCTGCAGGCAAATAAAAAGCAGTAGATTCAGGTGACAGTCATTCCCTATTCAAAATGGGTGTCACTATTTAAACAGACAGGTTATCTTTGACTTCAAGTTTTAGCAGGATCCTTTTCCTTAGACACAACTTTCTTTTACAGGAGGAATCCATTTAACCATATTGTCCCTGAAGAAATATTCAGACCACCCTGAGTAGATAGAATCAGAATACCTTCCACTGTCTTCCTCCTTTTCTTTTACTATGATACTTGTAGGAGCTGAAAAAGAAAACTGCATCATCAGGGAGGATCAGGATGAGCAGGGTGCACTGACTGTACAAACTAGAGCTGGAGAAAAAAATCCACCTCTAGGTAGACAGGTCATGGGAAATACTGGAGCTAGTTTTGAGAATATGAAAAAATGGCTGATCAACTCAAAAGAACACCTTTTTGCATTCCACTGTGCTGTGTTCGTGTACTAGCTCACAAGACAGTACCAGAGAAAAGAGAGGACAGTGGAAGTACAACAAATGGGGCACTCAGCAAAAGGGACCAAAGACTCTTGCTTTAAAAATTGAAAGAATCCAGATAATGGATGGTAACGTCTAATTTATTACAGTTTACTTCTCTAATATTTGATCATAGGCCTACATATGGGATGACCTTCTGAATGCTTAGAAGGAAATTTGAAAAGAAAAACATTCTTTTATATTGCCTAACTTTACTGTTATACAATGTGCAATCCCATGGGAGCAAATTGGATGATTTTGTCTGTATCAGCACTGGAGTATGTAGGACGCCAGTCTTCAAATGAAGCGGCCTGCCGTGTGTGGCAGCCTACCCAGAGCTTCATAGATGGTGGTGTTTTCTGGGTGTGGATAGCTTGTGCTAGTAGAGTTGTGCAAAGTTGAGCTTTTTGTCTTTGCATTTTCATAAACGCATATTCTGCCTCGTGTTCACACAATCTATGTCCTTCTCATGCAGTTATTAGGAATGTAACTCACTGCTCTACATTACACAGTGTAAAATGCACTGATATGGCATAACAACAGCTTGCTTAAGAGCCCAACAGCCACCTGGACGATTTCATCTCTGGGTCAGGTATACTGGAGATGTCTATCAGGCTAACTTACAGCACCCACAGTGCAGCAGGCCTGCAGGGCAGAACTAATTACAGGTCCAGACTCTGGGAAGCCCTAGAATTGATATTGCAACTTGACATTTTCCTAGGGCCATGCTATACTGGGGGACTGTCCTGCCCCTTCAGCAGCACACAGTCAGGAAGATGTTAAGTTAATTTAAGCCCACAGTTGCCTCCCCTTTTCCCCAGGCTGTGAATTCTCTTAAAAGATGCGGAAGAGAATGTCATCCATTTACATGGATGCTTGTGCAAAGCATTTGACACAGCCCCGCACGACATCCTTGTGTCTAAATTGGAGATAAATAGATTTGATGGATGGACCACTTGCCTGATAAAGAATTGTCTGGATGGTCGCACTCAAAGAGTTGCAGTCAACAGCTCAATGTCCAAGTGGAGACCAATGATGAGTGATGTTCCTCAAGGGTCGGTATTGGGAGAGGCGTTGTGTAACATCTTTGTCAGCAATATGGACAGTGGGATCAAGTGTACCCTCAGCAAGTTTGCCAATGACACCGAAAGCTGTGTGGTGCAGTTGACATGCTGGAGGGACTGGATGCCATCCAGAGGGACAGGCTTGAGAGGTGGGCTTATGCGAACCTCATGAAGTTCAGCAAAGCCAAGTGTAAGGTCCTGCACATGGGTTGGAGCAATCCCAAGCACAAATACAGGCTGGGCAGAGAATGAATTGAGAGCAGCCCTGATGAGGGCTTTGGAGTACTAGTGCGTGGAAAGCTAGACATGACCCGGAATGTATGCTCACAGCCCAGAAAGCCAACTGTATCCTGGTCAGTGTCAAAAGAAGCATGGGCAGCAGGTCAAGGGAGGTGATTCTCCCTCTCTACTCTGCTCTTGGGAGATCCCACCTGGAGTACTGTGTCCAGCTCTGGGGTCCCCAACATAGGAAGGACATGGAGCAGGTCCAGAGGAGGGCCATGAATATGGTCAAAGGGCTGGAGCACTTCTCCTATGAAGACAGGCTGAGAGAGTTGGGGTTGTTCAACCTGGAGAAGAGAAGGCTCTGGGGAGACCTTATAGCAGCCTTCCAGTACCTGAAGGGGGCCTACAAGAAAGCTGGAGAGGGACTTTTTACAAGGGCATGTAGTGACAGGACAAGGAGTAACGGCTTTAAACTGAAAGAGGGTAGATTTAGCTTAGATATAAGGAATAAATTCTTCACAGGTTGCCCAGAGAAGTTGTGGATACCTCATCCCTGAAGTGCTAAAGGCTAGGTTGGATGGGGTTTTGAGCAACCTGGTCTAGTGGAAGGTGTCCCTGCTCATGGCCAAGGGGGCTGGAACTAGATGATCTTTTAAGGTCCCTTCCAACCCAAACCATTCTATGATTCTGTGATAGATAGGTTACCAATGACATTAGCCTTCTATTATCTGTATAGAACCTAAAAGTCTGTTACGTCATCTACAGGACTTAAATAGACAGGTCCTCCCTGAACAACCTCTTGTTGGTATGGTGTAGCAAAAATTAGCCTACAGTTGCACTGGAATTCTGGCTCTTCTTGGGCTGTGATATCAAAGAAATGACAATGTTGTAAGTTTATTGCCTCTTCTCTTTTGGGCTATACTTTATAACCATATTTACTGAATGCTGGTCCTGAAAAATTCTATTCACCTCAGGCAACTCATTTTTGATAGCTGAGTAAAATCATCATTAATGCTCTTTTCATTACCATTAATCCTTGTGGTAATAGGCACTCAGGCAGAACTTGTCCCTAGCTTAGCCAGTTTCTCAAAACTGCTTTGCAGTAGATTTCTGTCAGAGACTGACATCTATCCTCAATATTAATATCCTTTTTCAATTACAATTAAACAAAAGAAGGTGCCAGTAAGTTTTAACTGAAATCTGTTCAAAGCCTTCAGTGGAATGTTCTGCTTTGAAATCCATGCTACCATCATTGGTTTCAATATAGAACGCTGCATAAAAAACCACCACTAGACAGTCATTGATTCAAACAGACAGTTCTGCTTACAAACTGACGCATGTAATGGCTTGATGTTACCATTCAGATACAGTGAACTAAACTTCGATTGTACTTCTTTCCTCAGCAAAAGCAAAAAGAAAAAATGATTGGAAAAAATCTGATTAAGTAGCATTGAACCGTATCTGCTCAAGTCCCTTTGAAAATAACTCCACAGAGGGATTTAAGCATTAGAACCCTCAGTATCACAGAGCCTAACACTTAGGTGGCTGGCTTCCAAAGTAAATTCTACAGTGGTGAGCCAGGCTTACATGCTCAACTTACCATGCCTAGGTTCAAAAACTCAAGATGCAGAGCAGAGCTTCATGCAAGCCGTCCCCTAAGAAATGTTGATATATGATTGTGCCTCTGATACCAGGTGAAGAGTGGGAAAACCTCATTCTGATCCCAGAATTCAACAGATGGCATGTGGAATATGTATACCCCTTGGCCTCGGGAGGTCAAAACACTTGATTTTCAGCTACTTACAGAGCTCTCTTTCTGAGCAACCTGATCTAGTTGAAGATGTCCCTGCTCACTGCAGGCGGGTTGGACTAGATGACCTTAAAAGGTCCCTTCCGACCCAAAGATTCTATGATTCTAAGATTCTCTCCCATCCCGTAACCATTAGGCTAAAGATCTGTCTGTCTCAGTCAGTTGCTTCTCCTTCTTTTCTTCTCTCTTTCACCAAAAAGTCAAATCTTTCACAGAACCAATCTGAGACTGGAAACGCTGGAAATCACAAGATCAAGGAGAAGTAAAACCTAAGCAGATCTGGCCAAACTTCTGAATATAATACTTCATATATGCCTAGCATGTATTGCAGCTTGCAGAAGTTTCAAATGCAAAGATATATCATGACAATCGGAGACAGTTCCCTTACCTGTATGTGTTGGTTGCTGGTACTCTCCAGATCTGAATGCCTTGAAGAATCCCTTCAGCTCCTACAATCACACTGAGGTTGGAGTTCCTGTAGGCATCGTTGCATTGGCTCTGTGTGGGGCCATAAGGTCCACTGGCACCACATGTTGTGAATAACCAGTGATCTGAAATGAGGACATGTACAAAGCATGATCCAAACATCCAAAGATAAAGTAGCTGTTCTGCTCTTTATTCACTCTTTCTTGTTGGACCAAGAGAAGAACCTGGCCCCTGGGGTTTTATCTAGAAGAAATACTCACAGAATTCTTTTAAAAGACTCATAGCACTGGGTGTCTCAGTATTTGACAGCTTTTCATCAACATCTCCTGAAAGCTATCACAACTATGAACATAGCTTTACTTTTTCTAAGGCTCAGAAAGGCAAAGATCACAGAGTAGGTAAAATGCAACACAGACCACCCAGTTTTGGGCTCTGCTCTCTGGGCTGTTAAAGTGCACACTCATAACCTCAAGACCAGTGCCCTTTAGTCCTTTCCGTTTCTACAGACATTTGATGATTAAATGTATTTTATATGGGTCATTAGCTGTTAAAAGCAGATAAAAACCTGTAAATACATCATCTCAGTGATTAAAATATAACAATAAACTAATTGTTTTTTTAATAATTATTTGCTCACAAGAGATTCAAGTTAAGCTTCAGAAGGCAAAACATCTAACTGAAGCCTGTAAAACAAGCATTCAGTTCTGCATGTTCTAGGCCAGATCTGCCAGTGTAAATCAATGCATCCCTATTACAGCCATTTTTATCAACTGGAAGTACTACCCCTGTACAAATAGATTTCTAGAACAAGGCTTTGCTAATTTGTGCCTCAAAAATCTAATTTTTTTATTTGAATATATGATGCTGAAAACAGTGTTCTTTTCCTTAAAGATTCATTATTAAGGCCAGCACAGTTGTGAGACCACAATGTAAAACCCACCTTATCATTTTTCATATGCAATCAAAACTAAGATCTAGATGGTAAATAAGTGGACTAAGCATTTTAGGTGCACATTACATGATTTACCTTTCATACTTATTAACAAGCTAATATACACAATCTAATAAACTCTGTTTCTTAATTCTACTGCTATTAAAGACAAAAGAATTGAAATACATGTAAAGAACATTATTTCCACAAATTATGTTGGGCCAGCCAGTCCTCCTTATGGCTTTCTCAAAGGGTATCATTTTTCCCCTCAATTCCCCCTCAACTCAATTTAATGGTACTAATTAGCTCCGATAGAGCATTAGCTTGATCTGCTCCTTGGAATTTGGAGCTACTGTCTATGATTGTCTGCATGTGCCTGGATGAGAGAGGCCAGCAGCTCTACCATTACTGTTACTGGGGGGGTTCCCCCACCAGAAATACAAGCAAACACCTTAGTTTAGCCAGGCACAAGGTCTGAATTACTTTTCACAAACTAATCCTGAAATTCCTTCTTATAAAAAAGTTCAATGCATGAAATGTATCAAATAATTTGGCAGGACTTTAAGAAATAAAGTGACTGGTATTTATGAAAAACCTTTGTAATACAGTCTTGGCTATTCCAAGAAGCAATGCAAAACTACTACTCTAGGAAAGCTTCCCAGTCCAGGTACTGCTGAGAGAATAATCTCTTCCTTCTTATTGCAAAATCTATGCCACCCTTTCTCAAAACTCCCTTTGCAAGGTTCCTCTAGAGATTTTGCTGTTGTTACTTGTTTTATGCAGACACTTACATACTTATTTTACTTATTTCTTTAATCCTTTTGCAATGGGTAGCAGTAGAAAGTCTTAAAATTAGTAGATAGCAAATGGAAGAATTTCTCTTTCCTCCTCTGCCTCCAATGTACTCCTAAAAACCCAAGAACAACAGGTAAGGGGAAAAGCACCTAAGAAAGCAAGATCTAAAAGTTCCTAATGAAAAATGCTTCAGTAGCTTGAATATTGACAGTCTTGCACCATAAGTTACTTATGTTTATTCTTGCAAAAAAACCCCACAACAAAACCAAAACAAAATCTCACACAAAAGGGAAGATGAGAGACTCATTCTGTCAGCTATCACAGTGATTTAACATTGCAATATCCCAGTGGGCTAAGCCACCTGCACTGAAACATATGTTTAGTAAAGCAGACAGGTAAGTGTCTTTGTTTGGAACAATAAGAAGCCATTTGGATGTCGCCAGTGAAACATCAAATATGTTCCCAAAGGTAGAAGCAGGTGACCTTCAAGAGAACAGTAAGCCCAAAACATGAGAGAAACAAATGGAAAAGTAGAAGTGACAAACCTAGGACAGACCACAGCATGTGCACACTGCTGCTACTGTTAAGTTTTACATTTCTGATTTACTCCCTTTAAACCTTTGGTATCTGCTTACCTGGCCTTGGCAAAAGTATCTCTAGACTATCACACATGTAACACACACCACAGTTGGACCTGAAACTGTCAGTTCTTGACTCCCACTGGGTTCCAGGGATGGGGGATCAACGAACTATGTCTTATTCCAAAATGCTTTTTAGTGGCCCTCTGTTTCCTTACAAGCTCAATGCCCTGGTGGAACAGAAGAAAAATGTCCTCCTG